ATTGGTGTATTCCAATTATTTCCAAGATTCGACACAATATATTACAGTTTCCGTAAGCGTGACGCCATGACTGACGCAAACTCACACACGACGATGACATACTTCTCCTCATTTCTGACTATTTCCCTTGATCACAATGAAAACAAAAAAAAATAACAACCAGGAGACTGTCAGAATGTGTCGGACTACTTAGATGTCACATTTATGCATATACGTTGCTTGAAACAACGAAAGTGTCCTGCGTACTTGTGTCGGCGAACACGCCATTTTGACATTTTCTACATAATTAATATTTTCATTAAGGTGAGGTTATGAATGAAAATACACACGATCATTTCTATCTTGCTGCTTACATTTTCAGTTCTAACTGTTCTTTCGTACTTTTACATACTTTTTGTCACGTGATTAATGTCAGTATTTTCGTCTTTCGCTTTGGGATAGATAGATAGATAATTGAAAGTTTAATATGTGTTCGGGCAACTGGGCCCATTTACACCTTGCCCATCATAAAGGTTTGCGAAGTTTCTACATTTTGTAAAGTAGTTAAGCTGCCACACGCTTTAATATAAGCAAGAATGACATTCTGAACATCATTGCGAGTGATATTACTTGAACACAACAGTCCAGTCAATGAGATGTCAATATTAAGCGATGTCAAAGATTCCACCATCGCCTTACGCCGAGTTAGATATTTTTGGTAATGCAGTAAAAAATGAGCCACATCATCTAGCGGATTACACACTGTGCAAATTTGCAGGAATATCATTATTAATAATGTTTAGATATGCACCAAGACCACAATGCCCAAGACGAAGTCTGGTTAAAAGAACCTCTTCTCTACGAATGCTTCTGGATAATTTTGCTTTAGCTACAAAAGGCTCGATGCCATAAAGATGGCGTCCTTTTAAGGATGAGGTCCATCTCTGATGCCATTTCGTTTGAGCATGGATCTTACCGACGGTGCATAATTCTGCAGGAGATGGCAATATTGTCTCATCCTGTTCTGAGACATCAAAATCTTATGCAGCTTTTGCCAACTGATCAGCTTTTTCATTTCCAAATATTCCAACATGAGCAGGTATCCATGAAAATTCAATATCTTAAAGATCTTTACTTAATTCATTAAAAGGTCGAGTATAATATTGATCAAGTCTTGTCTAGCTGAGGAGACACCTGTCCGAATTACTTGTAAAGAACTGACAGAATCACTGAAAAACGCTTTGGGACTAGACAGGGGACCAGTCTAAATCAACTTTATGTACGCCATAATCAAGGGGCGCTAACTCTGGCCTGTTTTAGCTCGGCAAACAGAGGCCTCATAATGGCATAACATTTCAGCACTAATAGTGCGGGTTATACTTTCATTGTAAGAAAAATGAGTGTATATTTTCAAACATTGATATTAAGTAATTAAAACATTCCATGTTGGTTCACATAAGAAAATATGTGATTTTCTCGTGTACACTTCCCCTTTAATATATGACACCGCCTAAGATTGAGTTTGCGATTTTCTTAACATAAATATTGACATATCTGTTTATAGCGGCTACGCACGTCACTTACTCCCGAAGCTACTTGGTGTCCTTCAGAGAAAGTCCAAAGAGAGTTGTTCTTGGCGAAGAGGCTGCTGGGACAAGATCGGGGACAATCCCCCGAGGGCGAAACCAGTGTTTGAATCTGCCGTCACCACTCGCCCCTTTCCGTAACTATTCGGAATGACATAACTGGTCACGAACTGGTTAAGAAGAGACGCGCAGTACGTATTAATCTGTGTGGAAAACCTTTTCGCGGAGAATCTAGCTGTATCCTTCATTAATTCAATTCATTATTTGCTATAACCTGAATCGAATAGTCATGAATTTTACAAAAAGGAGTGTTTACTTGACTTTGGGTGTTACTTATCATAGCAAGACATGCAAGATGGAATACATCCAAGCAGGCAGGAATATAATATATTTATTTTATTTGACCATTCCTTAATTTGGTCAAGGAAATAATTTATATACACAAAGATCTTAGTTAAGCACCCCCTGCTATATATCTCACGATTGAATGAGCCCCGCTCTTAACCCTTTGGAGCATATCTGGGACATGATTGGTCTTCGTGTGCAAGAAAGGGATCCTCCTGTACAGAACATGGCCCAATTGGAAGCTGTTTTACACGAGGAATGGCGTAGACTGCCCCTTCAAAGTGGATCAGGAGGCTGACAGGAGTATGAGGAGACTGCTGGCTGTCATACCATTACATGGAGGTTACACTCGGTATTGACCTTGAATCGTGTAAGACACGCAAAATGACATTTTGAATGTTCACATTCACCAATAAATTCAACATTTAACATTCCTGGGCCATACTTGTACAGACATGGTTTTGTATGAAAATCAGTGGGTTTTTTAAAATGAGCAATTATCATCATAAAATCAACATGGATTCAACTGATTTTGTCGTTTTTTATGAGTCAAAGGATCAATACGGGTCAGAAAAACTCGTTTTTCCATTGTAGTCACCAAGAGTTACGTACCTGTTGAACTGACTGACTGACTGAGTTTGGTTTTACGCCGCTTTTAGCAATATTCCAGCAACATCACGGCGGGGGACACCAGAAATGGGCTTCACACATTGTACCCATTAGGCTACCCCACCGCCCCTCGTACCTGTTGAAAACCTATCATTGCAAAAATACAGGGGGTGCTTAATTAAGTTTTTTGTGTATATATTGTATCACTGAATATAATGAATAATAATCTACTGCTGACTTGATATGGTATAGTATTCCTTACCCAATATTCTTATTTAGTCACCCAATAATCGCCATATGTATCCTATTCATCTCATTATGGATTCGGTACAGCCCTATAAAATACCGTTGTTTTTTCTAAATAAGGTTGAGTGATTTCATATGATCAGGGAGTTAATAAAGTTGACTACAACACGATGAGGACTATTTGTTCATGTCTGACACAGTACATGTTCCAGTACGATCCTTCTCCCAATATGATCCGTTTCCCGACATAATCCGTTCTTCCCGCATGATCCGATATACCTGTTATTCGACTACCCTATATGATAGATCTACATAATCTGATCCGATCTGGTACATGCCGTTGCTTGCTTCCTGCGTGACACTCTGAACACAATCACCTGTATCTGTTCCACACTGACGGTGTTGAGGGAGGTAGGGAGCATTGAACGCTGCTTTATTGCAGTTTAGGCTGGGAATTTAGCTTGATTTGGGAGGAAACCCCAATTGTTACTTGAAGTGACAGGACTATATTTATTGTATCACATTACTGCAGACCCACAAAGATCCTGGTTAGAATTGGTCTTCAGTAACCCATGCTTGTCGTAAGAGGTGACTAACGGGATCGGGTGGACGGCTGGATGCCTTGGTTGACACATGTCATCATATTGATGACAAACCACTGCAGTATAGCTGGAATGCTGCTGAGTGCAGTGTTAAACTACAAATGAGGTGAGGTGAAATTGGGTTTAACGTCGCGCTGGAGAATATTTCGCTCATATGACGACGTGCATGCATGTGTATGTGTATGTGCGGCTGCTTGTACTAGCCCAGACTGAAGCTGGTTTTATAGTGCTAGCCCACTGAGATACCATGCCGCAGTGAAGCATCAATACCCCACTCAGACACAGTATACTGACTCCGAGCCGACCAGTCCTTGTTGTACCGATTAATGCCGAGCGCCAGGCAGGGACCAACAAGTGCCATATTTTAACGTCTTTTGGTATGACGCGGTCGGGATCGAACAAACTACAAATGAACAAACCCACATGACCGCAGATGGCATAATACTGAGAACACATGACTTGCATAAAACAGCATACATGTATGCATTTGTGTTTGCAACACTCCGTGAGTGAGTTAAGTTTTACGCTGCTTTTAGCAATATTCCAGCAATAACACCAGAAATGGGCTTCACACATTGTACCCACGTGGGGAGTCGAATACAACACTCAGCAATGTTCCAGTTTTACCACAGTCACCTGAAACAGACGTCTGGGCCAGACAATCCAGTGATAAATATTGTGAGAAAAGTATAAATCGTCATACTGTGGTCCCATGTGGCCCTGTGCATAGAGTTCAGGTAACAAATCAGTTGAAGTTAAGCAACAGTTGGGTGCGGAGAGTCCTTGGATGGGTGACGGTGTTTGGCAGCTTGACTCCTGAGAGTTTCTAGGACTTCAGTCCTGTCCCACAACAAAGCTTATGTGATACATGTGGTTCAAAACTGTCTCTGTTCACCCAGCAGAAAATGGGTACCCGATGGGATAAGTTATGTGACTATAACCTTCTAGCGCCTCACAGGCAGCTTGGGTTATAGGGCATAATAATGTAAGCGTGACTTGCATGCGCTTAGAGCATGTCCCTCTGTGATGTGGATCAGGCGCTAGAAAAGTACTCTTATTATTATATCCACGCAATCCAAGGATAAGGATATTCTAGTGTTGGGAATCGGAAACCAAATCCACTATCGATTATCAGAGGATTGTGGTGAACGATTATCGATTATAGTCGAAATATATACATTTTTAATGTAATCACCAATTTCAAGGGTTTTCCCCCAGATTTTTTCTATTAATGTTTTCTTATAACTAATACTGTCATGCAATGAAATGCATGCATGCAAGAGACACTGGAGTTGTAATAAAACAATAACAACGGTTAAAATCGTGGTTTGGTAGACTGTCAGTTTTACCTGAAGTCATGGCGATGCATACCTTGTATTCCGTGAATATTCATCAAATTAAATGGTAAGTATACTTAATTCAAGGGTGTTATACAAAAACAACAAAATTCCGATTAATCAAAAATATTTTTTCACAATCGATAATCATTTTTTATCCTTCTTTCGATCGATTTTCGATTTTTTTCGATCATCGGAACAACACCAGGATATTCTATCCTCCAAGTAGCAGAACGTGACAACAGATCCATTTGCTGGGATATCAGCCAGATGGCTAAATACAATAAACAACATGATGACTTTTCAGCTTCATTTTCTTCACAAAGCAACAGTACACTTTGCAACTCATATATATCATTATACATAACAAACACTGTCAAATATACTCCAGACAGTTCGACATTTGTTCCAGAAACTCACAGGGAATATTCAGATCACCTACAAATGTTTCATACACAGACAACCAGCTGTCAATATCACAGCCCTGGGCCTCGTTTCACAAAGCTCTCGTAAGCCTAAGATCTCATAACTTTTCTCGTAGCATTCGAATCTCCTATACTGTAACATAGGAGGTACGAATGCTACGAGGAAATCTTAGGCTTACGAGAGCTTTGTGAAACGGGGCCCTGTTTCATAAATATAAGGGCCAGGTACCTATGTATATCTGAAGTGGTGTATATTTTTCACCATGCCCTAACTGGAAGTCATGGCAGACTATATTCAAGCACTTCTTAAGAACTTGTCAAACACAAAACGATCTTTCATAAACTCACCCATGAATACCTTTGTTGTTTCAACACTTTGGACAAATAAGCCGACATACACAATGCTTTCTACATTTTGCATTCAAGAGCACCGACAGAAGCATTGTGCAGTGGATTAATATTGGAAGTTGTGTTGTGGCTTGTAAAACTCTACACATTGATGTGCATGGTTCTTGATACTCTCTGCAAGCCCTTTACAGTGAGTGAGTGAGTGAGTAAGTTGGGTTGGGTTTTACCCTGCTTTTAGCAATATCACGATGGAGGACACCAGAAATGGGCTACACATTGTGCCCATGTGGAAAATCGAACCCAGGTGTTCGGTGTGGCAAGCCAACACTTTAACCACTAGGCTAGCCCACTGCCCCACCTTTACAGCGACTGTGTACTTAGCAATATTAACAAATACAAGGTTTTCTTAAGTCTTATAGTAACATGGAAATAAATGCAAACCCTGCACTATAACAAATACATACACAGTCCTAGCTGGGAACACAGCTTTACGTCAGCCTCTGCCAGCATTATGTGCCACCTGAATGTGACCTTCACCCTGTGCAGGCACATTCGCCTCTTGACTACGCAGTTTGACGCTAGTCCACCTTTGCCAGGACAATGGCCACTCGAGATGGGATGTACACCTTGAAAGTTGGACAAATAAAATAGTACATATAAAAATAACACTTGAAATATATACTGCAGCCTGTAATTTATGGGCTTTGATTAGAAATGAGCATGGCAGGGGGTGGAAAGGATGTGAAAAATTGACACAGGTTTAAGACCAATCACCCCAGTCCCAATGACTAGACCCTTAGCTCTTAGCACTGACTGAGTTTGGTTTCACGCCGCTTTTAGCAATATTCCAGCAACATCATGGCGCAGTGGGCTTCACACATTGTACCCATGTGTTCGAACCCGGGGCTTCGGCGTGATGAGCCAACGCTTTAACCACTAGGCTACCCCACCGCCCATATCTCTTAGCAAGTCAGTGTTAGCTGTCTTAAATCTTCCTAAGCTTCTAAAAGACCAGTTATCTTAATTCTGCGAATAATGCCAATAGCGACAAACCACACCCTGGCAAACGTACCAGTTAAGCACAGTTCAGAATTGCTCACAAATCAACTTTAAAAGCTATAATAAATGTCAACAGACAAGCTAGTGCCAATACACACAAAAAGGTTTGGGCACAGACTTATCTTTATAGACAAGTATTTTTGATACCCTTTACAAGATAACCTCTATCAAATGCATCTAACAAGGTGACTGGCAGTCTCAGACTACTTACATAGGTGTGATGAGGGCGTTCATTCCATGGTTCGTCCTTGGTGAAGAACTCAATGTTGTGGTCAAGACGCTTGTGGCCACCATACTGTTCAGCATCAGAGTCCAGCACTATTCTGTATGTGACTAAGGTCAAGGTCAAACAATGGCAGACAATATGTTGATTAACAGTGTTGAGTAAAATACTCTCCAGCAAACACGCATTGGGAGATTGGCATCCCCCCACCCATCAATCCATCCATCCACCCAAATTCCATCCATCCACTCACCCAACCACCCATCCATCCATCCCCACCCACCCACCCATCCATCCATCCATGACAAATTTTGGGACTATCCTCAGCTCACATGGGTATGACGTTTTCCAGATTAAACTGCATTATATGACATTTCACACAAAGGTAAATTAGCAAAAGACACAATAGCAGCCTTTGCTTATCAGACATTTCACAGCATGTTGGCTAAATTAAACAAGCTTATCAAACTTTGACATAATAAATACAAAAATGGCTGAGTAATTGATGAAATGGAGATTTCCAATATGGCTGCCCATGCAACTGGGACTGAAACAATCACATCACTACACTAAGGACATTTGTCAAGATCCAGGTTAGAATTGGCCTTTAGCAAATAATACTTGTTGTATGAAGCAACTAACGTGCAGGAGTGGAAACAACTTTAAAATTGATAGTGTACTCCAGTACAGTGGCACATGGAAAATCACTTGCCCTGATAATCTTTCCACTATACCGGATGTTTTCTTGTTGATTTTTTAAATAAACAACATAATTAACATTGGAATATCAACTGGACACTGGTACAGTGTGATATACAAATTTGCTTGCCCGACAGAAAAACACACTGGACTCGGGCGTCGGGCAATGGGTTATTTCCACCCCTGACAAGATAGGGTTGGTTAGACATATTGACTTGGTTGATGCATGTCACTGCGTCCCAAGTACTGAGCTTGATGCTCATGATGTCAATCACAGGATGGTGTGGTCCAGGCTTGATTATTTGTGAGGGAGTGAAGTTTAGTTTTACGCTGCTTTTAGCAATATTCCAGCAATATCATGGCTGGGGACACCAGAAATGGGCTTCAGAAATTGTACACATGTGAGGAACCGAACCGGGTCTTCGGCATGATGAGCGAACGCTTTAACCACTAGGCTACCCCACTGCCTCTGATTATTTCAAGACCACCATCATGTAGTGTTAAACAGCAAACACAAAACTATATCACAAAATAATCAAGGATATTTTCCTGGAAGTCCAACTCCAATCTTGTAGTCCGTGTAGCTCTTGTCAGGATGGAAGTTGAAGATGAAGACGAGGCGATCTGCCCTGTCGAACACTATCACCTTGTCACCTTCATGCTTGCAGCTTACATAGTTCTGAAAGACAAATCAATCACTCATATCTTGGTGTGGCAAGTATGAACAGTGTGGCAACAGAACTTTCAGTTATCTGGTCATCATATAGAGAGTGAGTGAGTGAGCTGGGTTTTATGCAGCTTTAGCAATATTCCAGCAATATCACGGTGGGGGACACCAGAAATGGGCTTCACACATTGTGACCATGTGGGGAATAGAACCCGGGTCTTCGGCGTGACGAGCGAACGCTTTAACTACCCTATTTATCTGGAATACAGCTGTGTGCTATTATATCATATTCAAATGTATTCAACCAGCAGTGAAGATCACTACTAGTCAAAGAGCAGAATCAAACAAGGATATCAGTCACGGATCCCCATAAGTCAAACATCAACATCAGTCACATATTACCATTGGTCAAGCATCACCATCCATCAGTCAAGCATCTCTATTTGTCAAACATCAATATAAAACATGACCATTATCCCAGCATCACTATTAGACAAGCATCACTGTTTGTCAAACATCACCATAAGTCAGTCATCAGTCAATTATTACTATCAGTCAAGCATCACCATCCATCAGTCAAGCAAGCGTCATCATTAATCTAGCATCACTAATAGCATCACTACTTGTCAAACATCACTATCAGTCAAACATCACTATCAGTCAAACATCACTATCAGTCAAGCATCACTACCTGACAAACATCACTATCCATCCATCACTTGTCAAACATCACTATCACTCACTCACTTGTCAAACATCACTATCAGTCAAGCATCACTACCTGTCAAACATCACTATCAGTCAAGCATAACTACTTGTCAAACATCACTATCAGTCAAGCGTAACTACCTGTAAAACATCACTATCAGCCAAGAATGACTACCTGTAAAACATCACTATCAGCCAAGCATCACTACCTGTCAAACATCACTATCAGTCAAGCATGACTACCTGTCAAACATCACTATCAGTCAAGCATCACTACCTGTCAAACAATCACTATCCTGTCAAACATCACTATCCGTCAAACATCACTACCTGTCAAACAATCACTATCAGTAAATCACTACAAGCAACATGACTACCAAGCATCACTACTTGTCAAACATCACTATCAGTCAAGCATCACTACTTGTCAAACATCACTATCAGTCAGGCATCACTACTTGTCAAACAGACCCGTGAAGGTCCGCGTTAGAATATTGATCTTCAGTAACCCATGCTTGTCGTAAGAGGTGACTAACGGGATCGGGTGGTCAGGCCAGTTGACTTGGTTGACACATGTCATCGGTTCCCAATTGCAGAGATCTATCATGCTGTTGATCAAACATCACTACCTGTCAAACACTCACATCAAACATCACTATCAGTCAAACATCACTATCAGTCCATCAAACATCACTACCCAGTCAAACATCACTACCTGTCAAACAACATCACTGCTTGTCAATCATCACTACGTCAAACATCACTATCAGTCAAACATCACTACTTGTCAAATGTCACTACTCATGAAACATCACTATCAGTTAAGCATTACTATCAGTCAAACATAATTATCAGTTAAGCATCACCACTTTTCAAACCTCACTATCAGTCAAACATCACTATCACTGACTCAATTCACTTGTCAAACATCACTATCAGTAAAGCATTACTACTTTTCAATCATCACTATCAGACCTGTGAAGGTCCGGGTTAGAATATTGGCCTTCAGTAACCCATGCTTGTCGTAAGAGGCAACTAACGGGATCAGGTGGTCAGGCTGCTGACTTGGTTGACACATGTCATCGGTTCCCAACTGGGCAGATCGATGCTCATACTGTTCATCACTGGATTGTCTGGTCCAGACTCGATTAATAATAATGTGTCCATTTATATAGCGCCAAACTCCACACTAGGTATGCAACAATCAAGGCCATTTATTACCCGGATAACCCAAGCTGCCTCATTATAGTCTGTTTTTCATCCATTTTCCTGCTGGGTGAACAGAGGCAATTTTGAACAAACTCTGGTCAGACTGCCAAACACGGTCACCCATCAAGGACTCTCCGATTTGAGCTTTAAGTACAGACCGGCGCCATATAGCTGGAATATTGCTGAGTGCGGCGTAAAACTCAACTCACTCACTTACTCACTCACTCATCACTATTAGTCAAGCATCACTACTTGTCAAACATCACTATCAGTCAAGCATCACTACTTGTCAAACATCACTACCAGTCAAGCATCACTACTTGTCAAGCACCACTATTAGTCAACCATTGCCATCAGTCACCTGAGAATGACTGAGCCAACCATACTTCTGTTCCAGGTGGATCATGTCACGGTCGAAGTTGTTGAGGAACTGATACTTCAGATTCTTGTCATCCACCAGGTTCCACTGCCTACGGCAGTAGTGGTAGCTCTCGTTGTTGCCAATACGGGGGAAGTCCAGCCACTCTGGATGACCCCACTCGTTACCTGAACACAAGGGAATGATACATAGTCAGTTATTCTACATGGAAGATGGCAGTTTCAGCATCAAGCATCCTCCAAGTGCAAGGGTAGGTCAAAATTTTAAATGTCCAAACACTAACATATATGAGGAGGAACGCCTTTTATGGATAGACAACTTCTATACTGCAATAGATGTGACGTTTCGGTGTACAGTCCGTTTGAGTCAGAAACGGACCGATGAATTGCAAATTTTATCATTGTACAAAATTGCCACATAAATATAAATAGTACACATGTTTATCATTTACTAATACCCAACAGCTTTCTTATATTTGAAAATTTCCGGACTCCACCCAAAAAGTTCTTTAAGAAACTATCATGAAAATTTATGAGGGAGGAGTGCAGAGAAAGGGACAGCCAGGTGTTAGAGAAGCACGTGCACAAGTGCCCACCAAGTTATTGATTCATTAGCCTGTGCTGTGCCGTCTCCATCCTTTCTCGCACACCTGGCTGTCCCTTTCTCTGCACTCCTCCCTCGTAACAAATAGTGAACTGTGTCAAAATTTTCATGATAGTTTCTTAAAGAACTTTTGGGTGGAGTCCGGAAAATTTTCAAATATAAGAAAGCTGTTGGGTATTAGTAAACGATAAACATGTGTACTATTTATATTTATGTGGCAATTTTGTACAATGATAAAATTTGCAATTCATCGGTCCGTTTCTGACTCAAACGGACTGTAGATCCTTACACTGTTATCAAGCAAAATATTGAACGAAATGCTGCATCTATTGCAATGAAGAATTTGTCTAACCATAACAAGTGTTCCTGTTTATCGTACCAGCTTCAAAATGCTACTTAACGAAACTAACATTATAATGATGAGCCCAGCATTAATTTCACTTGCAGCAATATACAACTCACTCACTCACTCACTCGCTCAATCAGTCGGTTTCTAAACTCATGGGAACCCTCATACAGTTTCACACTCACCTATGAAATTCAAATACCCTTCTCCACCCAGTCCAATTGAGATAAGTCGTATCATCTTGTGTAATGCTATTCCCCTGTCAATGATACCGCTCGGCTCTGAAATCGTTGACATGTGTGTATACATCTCTTTGTCCATCAGCCAGAATGCCAGGGACTTGTCCCCCACCAGCGCCTGGTCATGACTCTCTGCGTACGCGATGCACTTCTCCCCGTAACGCCGGTTCACCAGTGTATGCGATATATCGCCCAAGTTCCAATTTTCATCACTGCTTTCTTTCAAACACTGAAACAAACACGCCAGATTATTGCAGAGATGCAAACCCTGAAATTAAGCTTTGGAGTACTCAGTCGAGGGACAAAAGGGTAGGTATGTGAGAAAAAGAGTAACAGTACCATTAATTCCACAGGGGCTTGTATTGCTGAAAATCATACATCCTAGGTCCAACACCTACATACTTAGTTATATGTCAATGGCTATCAGTGAACGAGTGTTGGACCTGGACCTGACCTATTCAGCTATACAAGCCCCAGTGATTAATCCCTGTAAGTTTTAACAAGCTGGTAACAATAACAACATATCAGAGACTAGTTCTCAAGTTCACAGAGATTGATAATCATTAACTGAATATCGACTTATCCTCATAAATCTCAGAGAAGTATATTGGTGCAAAAATGCTAAAATTATCTCAAAGAAATCAAGATATTTCACATCACTGGTGATGGAGACTAGGATGGGGTAACAGGAACCTATTCTATCTGGAGTTATCACACGGAGACAAGGATGGGGTAACAGGGACCTATTCTATCGGGAGTTATCACACGGAGACAAGGATGGGGTAACAGGGACCTGTTCTATCTGGAGTTATCACCGGGGAGTTATCACCTATTCTATCTGGAGTTATCACCAGGATGGGGTAACAGGAACCTATTCTATCTGGAGTTATCACACGGAGACAAGGATGGGGTAACAGGAACCTATTCTATCTGGAGTTATCACACGGAGACAAGGATGGGGCAACAGGAACCTATTCTATCTGGAGTTATCACACGGAGACAAGGATGGGGTAACTGGGACCTATTCTATCTGGAGTTATCACACGGAGACAAGGATGGGGTAACAGGGACCTATTCTATCTGGAGTTATCACACCTATTCTATCTGGAGACAAGGATGGGGTAACTGGGACCTATTCTATCCACGGAGACAAGGATGGGGTAGGAACCTATATCACCACACGGAGACAAGGATGGGGTAACAGGGACCTATTCTATCTGGAGTTATCACACGGAGACAAGGATGGGGTAACAGGGACCTATTCTATCTGGAGTTATCACCTATTCTATCGGAGTTATCACCGCGGAGACAAGGATGGGGTAACAGGGACCTATTCTATCTGGAGTTATCACACGGAGACAAGGATGGGGTAACAGGAACCTATTCTATCTGGAGTTATCACACGGAGACAAGGATGGGGCAACAGGAACCTGTTCTATCTGGAGTTATCACACGGAGACAAGGATGGGGCAACAGGAACCTATTCTATCTGGAGTTATCACACGGAGACAAGGATGGGGTAACAGGAACCTATTCTGTCTGGAGTTTTCACTATAGAATACATATTGTACACACACAATATGCACTGTACATAGACAATAGACACTGAATATAAATAAAACACACTGTATGTATACAATACACACTGTATGTATACCATACATACTGTACATATACAATACACATTTTATGTATACAATACACACTGTACGTATATAATACACATTTTATGTATACAATACACACTGTACGTATACAATACACACTGTATGTATACAATACACACTGTACGTATATAATACACATATTATGTATACAATACACACTGTACGTATACAATACAAACTGTATGTAAGTGTTACCTTAATCCACATGTCTGGAAGAGCCATGGCCAGTCGGTAGTCAAATCCCCTTCCCCCCTCCTCCACTGGACGGCATAGGGCTGGCATCCCCGACACTTCCTGTGGACACGCATCACATCTTGAATAAATACATTATCATCTTTAAAGGCACAATGTCACACATTTTCCACAATATTTTGGCCTATATTATACATATCGGGGCATATGCACTCACTTAGCTTCCTATTGATGTAATAAAAGACTTATTATCGACTTGCCTGAAATCAATAATTGAAACTTAGAGACACACAGCTTCCAAACAGAGATCACTTGCCATATTCAGAATGTAAACAATTGCTCTGTACATCAAAAATTGTCGCACGTGATGTTGTCGATGGAACTGAACTGGTTTCAAATTCGTTAAGAGCGTTCCAAGGGACATAACTCTACTATTAAATTCCGTATCTCACTAAAGCTACAATTGGACAAAGGCTATACATCACATCAGCTACAATTAACAGCAATATCCCACTCACAGGCCTACCAAAGAAAACTTTCCCTCTGTGCAGAAAAACGCTGAATAGTCAACTTTAATCGTGGAAATAGCAACATAAACAAAATACCTCGCTACTGAAACAGTAAAAACGGCAACTTTAAATCGCTAAAACTGGATCAGAAAACGAAGACCCTGCAACTTTGATTTTGCACATGTGCACATGGAAGAGGAAGTCTCGCCCGCATGTTGACATTTTCCAGCTTGGACAAAGTTACAATCCCTTTTCAAAGTATTTACGTTGTGTTACCTGGCATGTATCATCACCATACTTGTGTGCACACTTGTTTAGTTTACCTTCCATTCGTAATGATTGACAGCAATTATTTCGACATATTCAATACTTTTTCTACGCGAGGTGATTCACGGTTGCTTGGAAATTTGAAAGTAGCATGCATGCAGACAAGCATGGATCTTAACACACATGCACAGTAGAAGTCATAGTTCGTTGATATAAAAATGTTGCAGTTTCATAGTCTTTTGTTACCGTTTTTACTGTTTCAGTAGCGAGGTATTATGTTCCACGATAAATGTGGACTTTTCTGCATTTTTCTGCACACTGGGAAAGCTTTCTTTGGTAGCAGGGGTGGAAATAACTTTAAAATTGCTAGTGTACTCCGGAACAGTGGCACATGTAAAATCACTTGCCCTGATAACTTTTCCACTATACCGGACGTTTTCTTGTTGACTTTTTTAAATAAACAACAAAATTAACATTGGAAAGTCAACTGGACACCAGTACAGTGTGATATACAAATTTGCTAGCCCGACAGAAAAAAACACTGGACTCGGACGTCGGGCAATGGGTTATTTCCACCCCTGGGTAGGTCTACTACAATGATACATCTTACCTCAGCTACTGTTATGATGAATGGGTAGAGAGAATGTAACATATAGTTGGCCAGCATCAGGTACACGAGGGACTCTGTGTCCGTGTTCAAACCAAAATACTCGGTGTAATGGCCACTAAATCCATGCCCTGTACATAAATAATAAAATCATTCCAGGTGAGGTGACGTGAAATTGGGTTTTACGGCGTACTTGAGAATATTTCGCTCATATGACGACGTGCATGCATGTGTATGGGTATGTGCGGCTGCTTGTACTATACCAGACTGAAGCTGGTTTAATAGTGCTAGCCCACTGAGATACCATGCCGCAGTGAAGCATGAATACCCCACTCAGACACATTATACTGACTTCGAGCCGACTAGTCCTTGTTGTACCCATTAATGCCGAACGCCAGGCAGGGACCAACAAGTACCATATTTTAACGTCTTTTTGGTATGACGCGGTCGGGGATCGAACCCGCGACCTTCCACTCTCCGGGCGGACGCTCTAACCACTACACCACGGAGACGGTCAAAATCATTCCAGAAAATATAGAAGGAAAAACCTTGATAACACTGTTCGAAAGATTTGCTCCGAGACCGTTAAAAAATATGGATCAGATGGTTACAATGTCCGACCAATCTGTATCTGGACCCTGCCAATAAAACTGTGTGTGAGATTAGAAACTGGCTTGGGGTATCCCAGACTTGATTACCGGTACTTACTGACTGCAGTTGTGTAACTGGACTATTAATAACAGCATTAAATTTGCTCACTCACTCACTCAGATATGTTTAAAAATAGGTCATATCTTAACAAATGTTAAAGCTTTCACACTTCTTGCTAGTTGAGATGAGACTGGGTGTATGCTGATGAATTCACTCACTCACTCACTCACACGCTGAAGCAGACTGCCTTACCCATCCCATGCGTGTGGTACAACATGGACGTGACACCATCAAATCGGAACCCATCGAAACCGTACTTCTCAATCCACCACCTTAGATTAGACAGTAAGAATCGTAGAACCTCCCACCTGGAAATAAATACAAGCATGAAATCTTTAGTTTTAACATGTTTAAGATGACTAAAGGCAGTTATGATGAACTTAATATTAAAATGGTTTGTGGGATATCAATACTTTGAATACTGATTGATTTGTACTTGTAAATATATATGCTCATGAGTAAGTGTTTGTATTAAAATCATAAAAAGCTCAGAACCAATCCACATCTCCTTCCTTGGGCCGTAACAGTTTCTAATGAGTAGTTCACTTTCAACAGTTTTTAGTGATATCAAGCAATGTGCAAAATAGTTTCCAAATTTTGCCAGCCAGTCGGGCTAGCTATGCCTGAAAGTTACTAGCCAACAAAATAATTCACTGGGCCGAAATTTGAATGTAGACACCGGTTTCATCACTAAGCTGCTAATGTGATATATTTACAAAATTACCCCATGAAAGTTCACTCGCCAATCGGGCCACTGACTATGGAGATTTACTGGCCCGCCTGGATTTTTACTAGCCACGGGCTAGCGGGCCAGTGGCAGTTTCACACACTGATATCAAGGCTTGTCAGCTACATGTGAGCAAAAAGACAAAGTGATGTAGGTCTCAGACATTTCTCACTTTGATGAAACAAAGAAGCGCAGATGCGAACCTGACAAACCCAAAATCATAACAAGGATTCAAACCGAAGTCTCATTTTCCTATCATGAGGTGAGGTGATGTGAGGTGAGGTGAGGTGAGGTGAAATTGGGTTTAACGTCGTACTTAAGAATATTTCGCTCATATGACGACGTGCATGCGTGTGTATGTGTATGTGCGGCTGCTTGTACTAGCCCAGACTGAAGCTGGTTTTATAGTGCTAGCCCACTGAGATACCATGCCACAGTGAAGCATGAATACCCCACTCAGACACATTATACTGACTCCGAGCCGACCAGTCCTTGTTGTACCCATTAATGCCGAGCGCCAGGCAGGGACCAACAAGTACCTTATTTTAACGTCTTTTGGTATGATGCGGTCGGGGATCGAACCCGCGACCTTCCGCTCTCCGGGCGGACGCTCTAACCACTACACCACGGAGGCGATCTGAGGTGAGGTGAGGTGAGGTGAGGTGAGGTGAGGTGAGGTGAGGTGAGGTGAGGTGAAATTGGATTTAACGTCATGCTTGAGAATATTTCGCTCATATGACGACGTGCATGCGTGTGTATGTGTATGTGCGGCTGCTTGTACTAGCCAAAACTTAAGCTGGTTTTATAGTGCTAGCCCACTGAGATACCATGCCGCAGTGAAGCATGAATACCCCACTAAGACACATTATACTGACTCCGAGCCGACCAGTCCTTGTTGTACCCATTAATGCTGAGCGCCAGGCAGGGACCAACAAGTACCATATTTTAACGTCTTTTGGTTTTTCCTATCATGACTAAGGGACATAACTCTGTACAGGGTTGCAGAGCCTTAGACAAAGATCCACCTACACTCTTCTTTCACTAAATATATTTATACACAACTGTAGGTCCTTTCTTAAACCATACTATTTATGTAATTTCAAACTATTTACATTCAAATAATCACTCCCTGCAACAAGAGATGGAGTGAAACTGGGTTTAACACTGTGTCAATCATGTGCATGTGTGTGTAGCTAGTTGTACTAGTATAAACTAGTACTGGTTTTCTAGGGCTTGGCCACAGTGATACCTTGCCACATTTTCACATAGGTATTCTAATCAGACACAGTGAGTGAGTATGGTTTTACGCTGCTTTTAGCAATATTCCAGCAATATTGCAGGGAACACCAGAAATGGGCTTCACACATATGGGCTTGTACCCATATTGGGACTTGAACCCAGGTCTTCAGCATGATGAGCTGACGCATTAACCATCAGACTACCCCACTGCCCCAGTCAGACACAGTATACTGACTAGTTTAATTCCATAATGGTGTGGGTGCAGTGAGCTAGCCTAGTGGTTAAAGCGTTCGCTAGTCATGCTGACGACCCGGGTTCAATTCCCCACATCATGTGTGAAGTCCATTCTGGAATATTGGTTAAGGTGGCGTAAAACTAAACTCACTCACACCCTATGATGGTGTGCACCAGCCAGGGTAACAACAAGCACAGGCCCATGGCATAGAACCCTGGTCTCAGGGGTGGAAATAACCCATTGCCCGACGTCCGAGTCCAGTGTTTTTTTCTGTCGGGCAAGCAAATTTGTATATCACACTGTACCGGTGTCCAGTTGACTTTCCAATGTTAATTATGTTGTTTATTTAAAAAATCAACAAGAAAACGGACGGTATAGTGGGAAAATTATCAGGTCAAGTGATTTTAAATGTGCCACTGTACCGGAGTACACTAGCAATTTTAAAGTTATTTCCACCCCTAGGTCTCCCGGCAACATGCTCCCCACTACCACATGGAGGCCGACCCGAAATGTGAACTCACTCTGTGTAGTTGAAGAGCCTCGAGTCCCAGAGATCATGAGTGCCACGGCCACCATCGTGGAAGTAGCATGAATTAGAGCCATCAAACTGATTCAATCCATCTACAACATTCTTTGAAGCATGGCTGTGTACGACGTCGAGCAATACCACAATGCCGCGGGAGTGGGCGACATCAACCAGCTCCTTCAGATCTTCCGGAGACCCATACCGACTGAAAAGCAAATTGATATCTGTCAACTGATTCAGTCGTTCATACTGTTGTTTAATATTTGTAATATTTCAGTAACATATATAGGTCCGTCTCCTATTCTCGCGGGTTTCCTATTCTCGCGGTAAACACGTTATTTTTTCAGCCAATATCCGTAAGTACCGCGAGAATAGGAAACGCCTTCCTACTTTGTAATCATCGGAATCATGTGACTGGGACACCATGACATGCACTACCTGATCGCGTTAGTGAGTAACGCCACTTTAGCACTATTCCATATATAATATCACGGTGGGGGATAATCCTGTTAGTCAACTCTGGCAGCAAGCATGGTTTGCTGAAGACCAATCCCAGCTCAGATGTTCACAGGAGTCTTATTTATTTGTTTGTGTTTAACACTGTACTCAGCAATATTCCAGATTGGTGGAGGTCTGTAAATAATCGAGTCTGGACCAGACAATCCAGTGATCAACATCACGAGCATCGACTACACAACTGGGATACAATGATGTATCAATCAAGTCAGCGTCCTGACCACCTGATCCTATTAGTTGCCTCTTACAACAAGCATTGGTTGCTTAAGACCAATCTAACCCTGGCCTTCTTCTAAATGCCTCTGTCAAAATTTACCTATAACAAGGTACATTTTTCTACATAAAACCATAGGGGCGGTGGGGTAGCCTAATGGTTAAAGCCTCTGTTCCTATAACAAGGTCATTTTTCTCATAAAACCAAGACCCGGGTTCGAATCCCCACATGGGCACAATGTGTGAAGCCCATTTCTGGTGTCCCCAGCCGTGATATTGCTGGAATATTGCTAAAAGCGTTAAAAACCCAACTCACTCTCTCACTCACATAAAACCATAACTATGTTCAAAGACAGCTCTGACAGACTTGTTTCCCAAATTAGGTGGAGGGTGATGTCCCTTTGACAGTAAGGATGCAGTTAAAGTTTATTTCAGTTTGTAGGCCATTGGTCCATGTACAAAAAGCAAGATAAATGATAGTGTGCATAATGGCAATAGGCAGACGTTTGTGTTGTCAATATACAGAAGATCGACATTTAAGAGACGATTTGATAAATAAAATTCAATAAAAGTACCATGTCATAAGACTGACTGACTGAGTTTGGTTTTACGCTTTTAGCAATATTCCAGCAACATCACGGCAGGGCACACCAGAAATGGGCTTCACACATTGTACCCATGTGGGGATTCAAACCCGGTGTAACAGGCCAGAGTATACCCGTCCCAGACTATACCCGGGGTTAAACTGGGCTAGCCCAGACTATACCCCAGGTATAATCTGGGCTAGCCTAGTTTATACCCTGGGGTATATTCTGAACTAGGCCATAGTATACCCCCCTAGCCCAGATTATACCCCTACAGAAAACAAGTGATTAAGGATACTACTATAATTTTATTGTACTTCTCACACAATTAAACAATGGTTACAACAGTGAAATGGTCTGATACATTGTCCAGATACAAAGCATAATCAGTGTGAGTTTTCAAGCTGAAGCTGGCAGGGTACATCAGCCATTGCATTGACTGACCAACTGCACTGTAAATATAAATGTCACATTTTAACATGAAATGCACTTTTAAATACCTTTACATGACACCGAGATCAGTCTCCAGAGTCACTTGTTCATATTAATAAATAAATACCAGCCCCTACTCACACCAGCCCCTTCTCACACCGGTTACCTCCCATTAGTTAGACAGCCAGTTGTTAGACAGTGGAGTAGGGTATTAATTAAGACAACACCCACCTCCATAATGGTACAGCTCTAATTAGATTGATGAGTAGAGTGTGCCCGTAGTTAATCTGTTCATGTTGTACTACCCCCGTTGCCGAAATACCTTAGTTGTGTGTGCTACGCTGAATAAAGCAAATAACTAACTACTAACCTTGATATATCAGCATGGCTGGGTTACGCAAAGTCGAAAATATCATATTGCAGAGAGGCACTCAACAAAAACTTAATAAATTTTGTATTATGCAGTAATGTAAATGAAATGCACCTACAAATTCCTTTAAATGACACCAAAACCATTGCCCGAGTCACACACTCGTATTGAGTGAATTGTCAACATAATTTTTTAGGGGTATAGTCTGGGCTGGAGGGGTATACTTTTGCCTGGTCCAGAATATACCCCCGGGGTATAAACTGGGCTAGCCTATAGTTTACCCCGGGGTATAATCTGGTGGGGGGTTATTCTGGGCTGCTACACCGGGTCTTCGGCGTGACGAGCCAATGCTTTAACCATTAGGCTACCCCAACGCCCCCCATGTCATTAGAAGTCATTAACTTAATGAATTTACAAGCATTTGTTAACTTATTTCATAGAGGTAAATAAGTTGTTCGTAGTGTTACATAGTTATCACATTCAAATAGGAAGTGGACTTCATCTTCATTTCTATTACTATTACAAATTACATCTGTGTTCATGGTTTCCTTCCATCTAATATTACACCGTAATGGTAATGCATTGAATCTTAACAAACATAAATATCTTCTTAAGTCTCTTACATTAATTCTTAAAATGTGATTATCAAGCGGCAAAGATGATATAATACTTTTAAAATATACAAGACTGGATGAATTCATGATACTGCTACTGATATTTTGTTTTGAACAACCAACTAACCTCTGCTGAAATAATGATAAAAATAATGACATATTTCCGATGTCTTGGGAACGCCAAACATAACCAATTCCATACTCATTTAAGAGTTTACGTATTTTTGAAACCCAAGTAATCCTACCACAGAATCTAGTCTAAGTATATAATTATAACATTGTTTGGGATAACGATCATTAGACATACTTGATAGTGAACACCAAAATGTAACACATGCAGTATGACTCACCTCGAGGCGGCAAAGAAGCTTGTGACTTGGTAGCCGAAACTTGCATAGTAGGCATGCTCCATGACCGCCATCAGCTGGATAGCGTTGTAACCTGTCGGAGGGAGTACACATTCAACACGTGATCAGGGTATAACAACTGGACGATCTGAGTTAAAACAGTGACATAAGTCTTAGAAATTTACTATGCCGCTTTTAGCAATATTCCACCAATGTTGTGACCAGAGCCAGATGTGGGCTTCACATATTGTTACCAAGTGGGGAATCAAACAGGTCTTCAGCGTGATGAGCGACACTTTAACCACTAGGCTACCCCACTGTCCCTCTACAACAAACATTGGATAGTGAAGCAATGGTGGTGAAAAGGTCCAGGATATTGAACAGAAAGAGAACGCTGGGTGATAAAGGATTGGCTTTGTCCTACTTTCAGCTACATTCTAAAACAAGGAAGGACGGTCCTCAAATATTGCACTTGTCTAAGGTGAGGTGAGGTGAAATTGGGTTTAACGTCGTGCTTAAGAAAATTTCGCTCATTTGACGACATGCATGCGTGTGTATGTGTATGTGCGGCTGCTTGTACTAGCCCAGACTTAAGCTGGTTTTATAGTTCTAGCTCACTGAGATACCATGCCACAGTGAAGCATGAATACCCCACTCAGACACAGTATACTGACTCCGAGCCGATCAGTCCTTGATGTACCCATTAATGCCGAGCACCAGACAGGGACCAACAAGTACCATATTTTAATGTCTTTTGGTATGACAAAGCCGGGGATCGAACCCGTGACCTTCCGCTCTCCGGGCGGACGCTCTAACCACTACACCACGGAGGCGGTTACTTGTCTAAGGCATGCATGGAGAAGACTTTACAATACAGTGGCAGGATTTAATTTCAGTCATTGAAAGTGCAGTTACCTAAGTCAGCGATTCTTGGGATGACATTCTGTGAAAATTCCTTGTATGTCGCCACTTTGCCTTCCCATGATGCAATTCCGACATGTGACTCATAGATACGGAGACGGTCTGGTTTGAACGGTCGAGGATGTTTTGGTACATAAATCTGAAAATACATTAGTTTTTCAAGAACTGAAAGTAACAAAAAGGAGAAGCAGAATATTTATCTCTGTATGCCAGCTGAAATCTTTACACACCTCTCAACGAGTACACAGCTCTAACTAAGAGGGTAAAAGTAAATCTATACTCCTCACTTGCGATTGGTTGGTTGGTTGATTGGTTGGCTAACGCCGCACTCAGCAATATTCCAGCTATATGGCGGCAGTCTGTAAATAATCGAGTCTGGACCAGACACTCCAGTGATCAACAGCATGAGCATCAATCTACACAATACGATCTACAGGATACGATGACGTGTCGACCAAGTCAGCGAGCCTGACCACCCAATCCCGTTAGTTGCCTCTTAGATCCCACGACACACCTACCTCAGACTCAGGGGGGTCCCAGAACACATGTTCGTAGATGGCCACGTCCTTTGGTCGGTCAACCCGCGTCGCCCACGGGCAGATTCTGTCCACAACTTCACCAGTCTTAGTCCTAATGCCCAACTAGAAGCGAACAGCTGGCAATGGATACACTGCATACCATATATGGAGAACCATGTGATCTGCATGATGTACTTTTATAAAGCTTAGTTTCAACTCTGAAAGCTTATAAAACATGTTCATAATAAATTCATATGGAAAAATACTGCTCAGTGTTGACTACAGATCATGTCATATTATGTATGTAGAAAACATATCTAACATAAAAAGATAAAGGAAGAGAGTTCTTTCATCGAAGTAAGGATACAGTAAGGATATCAGTGCTCCAGATAATTTTTCAACATCAGGAGTACGTACTCCATATTTTTTCACTACAGGAGTACTGGAAAACCTTAAGAGTACATTTAAAGTACTGAGTGGAATTTAATGGCGTATCAGCAATTACGTGTTTCGTTTCATAAATGTACCACAACATTGATACTCTTGTGTAAACAAATCAATAAACAATAAACCAATATTTTTTTTCAGAGAAATACGTCTGTAAATGATTCTAAGACCGTTCACAATTGCTGTGGTGCGTACCTGCTATGTTTTCTAAATTATTTGCTACCGTATCGTGCATATTTTGTATCTGTACATACGCCGATACTGCCCTATCTGAAGCCCTGGATATACTCCGAAACGTTGTGTTCCTCTTAATATAGAAGTTGACATCCATAAAATCTGTTCCTTATCTGTATCACTTCTAAATACCATTTAAAGACCATATAAATATTACATTTTCTTGGCAGACAATGACAGCAGACCTCAGTTTTACAATGAATTAAAAGAGGCCTCTAGTCATTGCCAAAGTGTACAGGATTCGTTTGTTGTTTAACACAGTGCTCAGCAATATTTCAGCAATATGAATGTGGTCAGTAAATAATCCTGACAATCCCAGAACTGTTGGCATAAACAGCAATCTACAATCACATGCATCAACCATGTCAGCGGACCTGACCGCCCAATCATGGTAGTAGCCTCTTACGACAAAGATGTTGATGAGCACCTAATCTTGCCCAGATCTTTATAGGGTATGAACAGAAGACTGTGGCCATATTATGCCCAGTGTGTGCCAAATAGCCACTGGCCCGCTAGCCTGTCGCTACTAGTGGTGGTCCGATTAATTGAAATAATCGAAGATTGGTCGCAATGACAAAACGACCAATCAATCGATCATGTTTTCTCATAATCGAACACAAACAATTTTGGAACACTTGTTTGCAATCACGATATTTTTCACAAGGTTGGTTTTGTCTGTTACATTTCATTAGCACTACAAGCTCTTCCAATTCATGACTGAATTTATTTTAAAGACTCCATGAAGTTCATGTTCCTAACATACTAGTCATCCTTTAAAGATGTGAAATTTGCAAATGCATTTTGTGCAATTTGCAAAAAAACAAAAGAACTACATGTTTTTTCTTTATTTTTTGTGCATTAACAAACATAACCAGAAAAATTTAATAAATGACGCTAACCAATTATTTTCGATGACTGATCAGTTGTAATGAACCAATCATCAATTATGAGATTTAAACCAATTCCCAACACTAGTGGCTAGTAAAAATCCAGTTGGGCCAGTGACTGTGAATTTTCATGGGAGCATTTTGTAAATACATCACTCTCTCCAACTTAAGTTACAATACACTTTAAAATCATGCAAGATTATGGCCTGATAAAAATGTTCATCATATTAGCAGCTTAATGATGAAACCCCTGTCTACATTCAAATTTTGGGCTAGTGAATTATCTTGTGGGCTAGTAACTTTCAGGCATAGCTAGCCCGACTGGCTAGTAATATTTGGAGACTATTTCACACACTGATTATGCTCCAACTACTGGGAGGAATTCAGTGACAACCTGCTTACCTTCAGTCTGGAGAGGTGTTTGATGGGACAGGATCCGTCCGGGTTGGGAGGAATCTGCAGCTCCCATTTGCCAAAGTCCAACTTCTTGAAGGAGAATTTCTCCTCAATCTTCCAGTCATCTGCAGTGTTAACATGATTATGTTTTTTATCCAATATCAGCATGATTTGTGTGTCTCCTGTACAACGTGACATCGGAATCTGTCTTCAGCAGAAAATGTTCACCTGGCAAAGTGAGTGAGTGAGGTTTATGCCACTGTTACCAATATCCAGCAATATCACACCGACTGAGTGAGTGAGTAAGTATGGTTTTACGCCGCTTTTAGCAAACTTCCAGCAACATCACAGCAACTGACACCAGTAATGGGCTTCACACATCGTACCCAAGTGGGGAATCGAACCCAGACCTCGGCATGAAGAGCAAATGCTTTACTCACTAGGCTCCCCTAATGTCCCTCATCTCACAAAGATGAATGTGGTATCAGTCATTATTAACTGGTGATTACACATACATATATATATAGTTATTACCTTCGAGGGGAAGGATATAAGGGATATACCTTTCAGCTATTCTCACTGAACATCATAACGATTGATGTCTTTCAGTGGTATTTAGAAGTTGTACAATGATGTCCAAGATATCTTTATGGATTAAACTTCTTTTTAATTTCTCTCACTCATGCTTTTGAGACCATTCCAGGTCCCTTCATCAGATGAACTGGCAGTTAGGACTATGGCGTCACTTATTAACTGAGTTATGACGTCACAATGCAGTGACATCACAGTACACTAGGGAGAGTACTGTATAAGTTTGAAGAGTTAATTACATAATGATGAAAAATTCATGCTAAATAATAGAGTTGAAAGTTGAATTGTCAATACACAACAACTGCTAATTACACAAAAGTTACTTGATAGCAGGCTTTCCAAAAGAATAGTAGACTATCTAAAGTCCATCAAAAGTTAATCAAGAGGTCCCACGACTTGGCAGGTATACACCTTGATCAGCTTCATTGCTGGTTTATGTCTCCTTATCTCCACACATCATAACAATTGTTCCATTGTTCTTATTGTTTGTAAATAGAGGCATCATAACAATTGTTCCATTGTTCTTATTGTTTGTAAAGAGGCCCTGAATAACTCAACACTGAAACACAGTGTCACAATACTTGAAGATGACAATCAATTGTTTAAGACAGTAAAATGATGAAGCCATGTCTTCATCTGAGTCCCAGAAACCCACAAATTTGTTCATTTTCTCACAAAAAAGAGCATGGAAAATAGAAAAATATTTCTGCAACTTGGAATCACTGAATCGCTATCCCTCATTACTAATGCTGAAAGTTCCTAATAAAGGCTTAATTTATTCTCTCAAGACTGATCAGCCATAATTCCTTGTTGGTCATTGGTTATTCTCTGAACAAGCCTGAGAGTGAATAACGTTTGACGCCCCCTTCAGCAACAATACAGCTACTGGAGGGCACTCCAAATACATTCCAGTCTGGACCAGACAAACCAGTGATCACAGATATCACCAGGTAACTAGCTAGTTCTTTCATACATCTTTTTGCAAACCAACACAAGATATGTAAACATATCATATATACTTACAGGACATAACAAAACATTGTCAAGGAGAGTCATTAGTCATAACAACTTTACAGGGAGTTGAGCTTAATGCTGCATTTAAAATGTATTCAGTCATATCATAACATGTCAGCCGGATGTCAAAGGAGAACCCAGAAGCAATTCTGATGTTACTTTCACAAACTAAATCCCATGAAAGAATATGGTACTGACAAACCTGAACGAATAATCATGACAAACTAGGATTTGAACCCAGAGCCAAAGGTTCCCAGGGGTTGAAATAACCCATCACATCGCCCCAGTGCAGTGCTTTTTCTGTTGGGCAAGCAAATTTGCATATCATGCTGTACCGGTGTCCAGTTGACTTGCCAATGTTAATTATGTTGTTTATTTAAAAAAATCAAAAAGAAAATCGGCCTTTATAGTGGAAAAATATCAGGGCAAGTGAGTTTACATGTCCCACTGTACCGAGTACACTAGCAATTTTAAAGTTATTTCCACCCCTGGTTCCATGCACTCACATTAACCATACACAACATGCACTCATGCAACCTGACATTGAAAATTGCAACTTCTTATTTATTTCTGCATGCACCCAATGATGACTTACGTAGAAAGATTATTCATAAAATGTATCTTTAAAGTCATTAAAATGATTCCACTTTATGTACCATACATTACAATTCCCACTGTTATGAATAACTTGTCATTGGTCCTTGGGCATGACATCATCAAATTGTGGGTACTTCATGAATCTGTGCACATATACTTATGACAGTTTACAGGATTATACCTTTGACCAGGGAGGAGTGAGTGAGTGAGTTTGGTTTTACGCCGCTTTTAGCAATATTCCAGCAATATCACGGCAGGGGACACCAGAAATGGGCTTCACACATTGTACCCATGTGGGGAATCGAACCCGGCCTTCGGCGTGACGAGCGAACGCTTTAACCACTAGGCTACCCCACCACCCCCTTTGACCAGGGAAAGAAACCTTTCAAAATTTCCCACTAGACCACAGGACCAGTGAGTGGACAATAATTAGTGGTCCTGTCTGTACTTCACTGGTCCAAAATAACATTCGTAGATTTACTTAGCTATCAATACAAAATTCACTGGCCACCAGGACCACTGCAAAGTTATCCTGGTGAATTTTTACTAGCCAGGGACCACAGGACCAGAGTAAATTTTCGCACACTGTAGGCTTTGTGACCACTTGGCTAGCACACAAGGCTTGTGTTGAACCTGTACTTTCTAGTTTATTAATGAAATACTGATTATGACAAGCAAATTGAACTCATTTTGCCCTATGTGACAACATTCAATCTGAGATTATATCATGCAATGACAGCAGCAGAGTTTCTTTATGCAGGCCAGATTTGGCCACAAGTAATGTTGGAGACCTTGGTTCCTGAAAGAAGTGCCCTTCAAGTCCACCCCGAAGCGTGCGACTTCGAAACATTATGTCAAAGTAAGCCAAAATGTTACCACAGGATACATCTGTATTGTAAATGCAGGAAAAGAATTATACAAAAATTTAGAATTATATTTCAATGTGGCTTCGTGCATTGCAAAACATGATTAACTATTCACATTTTATTCTAAAAATTAAAATTATTGCAGACACTGGGTATAAATTCACATCATTCTTATGACAAAGATGAGAAGAGGAGGGTTTATATCAGTTGTACAATTGATTCCATTTCAAGTGAGTTTGTCTGTAGTTAATAGGCACCATTTTCAATGCAACTAGGTTCAGTTGAGTCAACAGAATTTCAATGTCTACATACACCAGGTGCAAGCTTCATATAGTTATGAATGCACAATGCCATTTAGAATGTGGTCAAATGTAATGTGTTATATTTGGGATTACACTTTCTCAACAGAGTACAGATTCTAGTACTCATGTTGGGTTGAATTCCAGCCGGGATTCGAACCCACACTCTCAGAGTCAGGCACCTTATCGCCAGCACACAAATTTCCTAATGATTTGAGTTAAACACAGACTGTGAGACAGCAGTTATATCTTGTCACATATAGATCAGGGAACATGGAAAAGTTCAAAGCCAGTGAACAGTACATATTACATTGGTACAATATCCAGTATTGAGTTACATATCGAACAGCGACACTTTTACACTAATATGTATCACATCAAGAGTGAATGCATTTTTATTTTACGCCACTTTTAGCAACATTCCAGAAATATCATGGCAGGGACATCTCAAATGGTCTTTACTCATTGTACCCAAGTGAACCCTGATCTTTGGTGCGATGAGAGAATACTTTAATCTCTACTCTACCCCTACCCCTATTAAATAATGAGGTAGGTGAATCTTTAAACTTCCAAAATACTGAGAATGATGTGTGTAAACTGACTGAAGTCTCCGCGTAGATAAATCGCCTCTGCTGCTGGAGCCCATTCAAGCATAATGATGGAGTTATCTTCCCTTCGGTGAATGCCATAATTCTGATATGCCCGTGAGAATTTCTCCAGAGAATCTTCATTTTCATCTATCCGATTCACTATGTCCTTGAAACAGCCATATCTGAAAAAGCAGAGAATGAATTGTTGTGAAATATGTCAAGTTTTAAGAAAGAAAAGCTAATGAACAATTACACATGTAAACATAATAAATAGTCAAAAACTGTTTTCAAATTTGGTTAAATACAAAACTTGAGCATGTCCTTTAAAGTAATAGTCCGGTCTGTGCTTAGCATGGCAGCTATATGGCAGCGGTCTGTAAATAATAGAGAGAACGCATTCTCCATTTGATGACCTTTCCTGCAGCTTCCACATATATGTTTTCATTATAACTTCGTTAAACCACTAGTGTTGGGAATTGGTTAAAATCTCATAATTGATGATTGGTTCATTACAACCGATCAATCATAGAAAATAATTGGTTAGCATCATTTATGAAATTTTTTAATGCACAAAAAAATAAGGAAAAAAATTTTAACTATGATGCAGTGAATATTACAGCATTGTTTTCTCCAAATTGAATACCAAACTTGTCATCATTGATAGCTTTACCTGATATTCAAAGAGCAGGCGACACTACATTTCTGGAGGCCTTCAACTGGTAAATATGCTTTGTTATTTCTGTGATACTGAATTAGAATATATTGTGAAATAATTAATTAAAATCATCATTTAGGCTAAAGAAACTGACACATACCGTTACTGAAAGGCAATTGATTGAGTAGATAAAAGATTTAATTGACTCTTTTCTGTAGTTAGCCTGTTTTAACCACTTTGATAAATCTCATTTCATTTTAAATTATTTAAATTTATTGTGTTTACTTTATTAACATTATGTGTTTGTCAGTTACACTCCTGTTTCCATATACAACTCTCTCTATTATTCATCTTTACAACCAATAATTGCTAAACATCATCATATCAGATATATGTGTCACAGTTATAGTAGTTACATCATATCCAAATAAAACATTGTTTGAACAGCATTCTAGAAGTTGGTCAGTCAAAAATGAAACATACAACTCTATGGATAACAACTTTTTGTTTATTGTATGAAGCGGCGTTTACGATGTAGATTCTTACACGTTATCAAGCTAAAAGTGACTACAACAAATGATGAGAAGTATATATACATGTACATAGTATGTTTTTGTCAAATAAAGCGTAATTGAGAGGCTGACCAGTTGGGGACTAAGAACAACAAATGGATCTAGTGATGAAACCAATTAACAAGGGAGGGTGGGGTGTTAGGTTGTAACAACCTGATAGGGTGATTTGATAGAGTCTATAGTTTGATTAGTTCTTCATATCCCAATGGTATGTAGTATCCTTGGTCTCTATTGATCAAAGGTTTGTGGCTGATTTTTGATGGCTTCCAAAAGTTTTCTTTTTGTGCCGTCCTGATTCTTAGTGGATAAGATTTGAATTTGTCAAACCAGCCCCCTAAAACTAAGTTTGGCATCATCTCAACCCTGACCAAGCTGCGCTAAGAACATTGCTCAGCAGCCATGACCTAGAACATGGCCGGAACCACCTACAACATGTCTTCATGAGCCTCAACCAGTAACCCACCAACTCATAGTCTGTTTGATTTCACTTGAGACCAATGGTTGCTCACTAACACAAAATCAAATAATTGCAACAAAACCAAATTTTGCAGTCACATGAAAGCGACAGACCAATGAAGAACTAATCAAACTATAGACTCTATCAAAGCACCCTATCAGCTTGTTGGTACAACTGAATCCCCAATCTTTCCCGGTTTATTGGGTTCATCACCATTCCATTTGTTGTTCTTAGTCCCCATCTGGCCTCTCCCAATAATGTACCAGTTGTTATTCAATTACATGTTGTTGTTAATGTCAATCTGCTGATTGTCAAAACATACTCACAGCATATATACTTCTCATCATTTGGTTTTAGCTTGATAACAGTGTAGAATCTACATCGAGCGTCACTCTGTGCAATAAACAAATGTAGTTCTTGGGGAGCTAAATGTTGGGGCAAAATTTCACATCTTTAAAGGATGACTAGTATGTTAGGAACATAAATTTCTTAGAGTCTTTAAGATAAATTCAATCATGACTTGGAACGAGCTTGTAGTGCTTATGAAATGTAACACACAAAACCAACCTAGTGAAAAATACTGTTAATGAAAACAAGTGTTCCAGAATTGTTTGTGTTCGATTATGAGAAAACATGATCGATTGCTTGGTCGTTTAGTCACTGCGACCAATCTTCGATTATTTCAATTAATCGGACCACCACTATAAACCACACTGTAATGTTGCCGGTAGAACGACGCGTCCGTAATAGTGAGTGAGTGAGTGAGCTGAGTTTTACACCGCACTCAGCAGCTATATTCCAGCTATATGGCGGCATTCTGTAAATAATCGAGTCTGGACCAGACAATCCAGTGATCAACAGCATGAGCATCGATCTATGCAATTGGGATACAATGACATGTGTCAATCAAGTCTGCGAGCTTGACCACCTAATCCAGTTAGTCGCCTCTTACGACAAGCACGAGTTACTGAAGATCAATTCTAACCTGGACCTTCACGGATGCAAACGGGGTAAGGAAATAAATATTTCCAGTCTTCGTAAAAATATTTCCATATCATGACGACAAAACAAAAATTAGCTTTCAATAAAGACGTTATTTTCCAGCCTCTGACATCTAAATTACAGTAGATATAAGTCTACATATATATCCTCACAGAATATGTATGCATCGTGTGACGCGCATGGTCACACCGTGCACGAACACATGAAAACCACACCGGTAAGGCAGAGAGTTGCCATGTTGCCATTTAGCACACAGCAAAGAGTCTTGTCAGCGATGACAACTAGTGCATACTACCGGCCTACCTTCGTCGTATTTCCTTTTCAAAATCTCTCAGATACCCATCGCTGGAAAACAAGTTTTCTATCTGAGGCACGACAACTTTCGCCGTATCTGCAGCCATGACCGCTGTTTTGACATACGACCTTGACCCTATGTAGGTCAATGAGTGTGAAGGTTGCTGTTGAGGGTTAGCTCCCTTCGACTGCACAATCATTTTTAGCTTATCCATTTTGACTGATGAACTCGCGATTCGACTTGTATAATGCAACAGTTTCTAAGAATCCGTTTCTAACATAGAAATGCATTTTTAAATGAAAATGTAAACGTAAACCAAAAACACATAGATGGATTGATATCCTCGTTTAATGAAATCTATACAGAAATACGCGAGTAAATGTGTACCATAGGCGCTTGACTCTGATATGTTTATAAGTATGACCTATATCTATAAGATCTTATATCTTATATATATAGGTCATACTTATAAACATATCAGAGTCAAGCGCCTATGCCCACCGCCCCTGGTGAGTTCAGAGTTAGGGAACGAACACATTGAATACTTCCACTGTCGAGAGTCCAGCGTGAGGATTCAGTTTGTCCTTGAATCTCAAAGCCCACATGGTACAATTCGTGAATTTCTGCTGTTCCCCGCAGTGATATTGCTGGGATATTGCTAAATAAAAGGCGTAAAACCATACTCAGTCTGTCAGTTGAATCTCAAACGAAATGTGTATTGCACATGTTCACCTGTAGATAAAAGCGTTGGCCAGGTGTACCAGGGAATGATTAGATCACATGAGCTACTGTCATGCTCATGCGTGTTTTCGAAAGATAAGGGCTACTATTAGGATTGTATTTTTTATTTTAAAAAAAACAAGGGAATCGTTTTGAAATCGTTATGTGAATGGTTACATATCCGTTTAAATAAAATGGTTATTTAAAACTCACAACTTAAAAAAAGAGGACAGACCAGAATGTCTCCAAACATTTTCCAAAGACTTGCAGATGCGTTTTTTTCAAACATCTAAAAAATAAGGTACTCTCTTACCTGTTTGTTTTCACAGAGGTATGTAAGGACTGTAATCTAATACAAACTTACATTTAGGCACAGCTAGATTTACATTTTTAATGAAAAAATGAGTAAAGATGGCTAATTATTTGTTTTTATTGTACATGTACTTGATCATATATACTGGAATACGCACTAAAGGCGAGTTGACAGACGTAAATATACAATGTATTTTGGCCATATTGATGCGATGCGACACTGAAAGCATTATTTGAAAGTTTCCTCATCAAAATATATGCAGTGCTTAAAACTATAATTTGTATTTCCAGTGCTCACAGAGGATCTGGTCTCATAACGCCCATGCTTTCTATTTTGTGCCCGCAAATGTGTTTAAATAGAGTAATGATTTGGGGAACTCCTTCAAATAAGGACTGACCATTTATTACCAAATCTCTCTATTGTATTAAACGAACAGTCCCAAATAATATAGTTTAGAGATACTCGTGTGTGCTTTCTGAGGTTTATAATCGGGTGATAACATCTAAAACAGAAAGAGCAACAGCTGACTTGAGAGGTCTGTGATTTCATTGGTCCAGGTTTGGTCGGCAGTCTCGGTCACACAGGCGAGATCCGTTTGTTGACATCCCGACAAGCACATGATTAGCAATCTATTTTTAGAGCTCGCACGGCATGCCCTCAACCAATCAGAGGCCCCGTAACACAAGGTGTGTGAAGACACATGTGAAGGAAGTGATAGTAAAATTGATACACAGATTCCGACTGTGCAGTAATCGACCGGCTTGTGTAAAGGTAAGGTAGAAAACATATGCGTTATTATTATGGCCAGTTCATGTATTGATTGTCATTGTAAAATAAGAATTGATCTGATGTTATTCAGGTGTTCCGGGTGAAGAGCAATGACTGAATGTGATTGAGCCTATCGCTGCAGTTGTTGATCAATACTGATCGAGTCAATCATCATATCGAACTAAAACTTAAACTGTTAAACTTTTTAGAGATCACAATTATTATAAGATTTTGACTGAGTGAATGTGAGGACTTGTGCAATAATTAAATATCGTCCGACCTGCGCGACTAGCCATAAACTTCCATGTACGCTAAATGACGTTGTTTGTTATTCACTTGAAAGTGCGTTTGAGCGGACGGGGGTGGCCAAGGCATCACTTGCTGGCCCGACCACGCCTCACTAACGGGACAAACCTTAGTTTAGCTTGATCTATTATCCGATTTGGGGGGAGGGTGCGTATACAAGGTCATCATAGCTTTCTTCACGATCCCAAGATTTTTGCCTTTGGGATTGTTTGGGGAGAGGTGCAGATGGGGATATTCTGGAGCAGACGTGATCAGTAAGTGAAATCATGCGTATCGAAACGCGCAGTTGGGATACAGTGACATGCACTGAACCCAGTCAGAGCGGCTGATTACCTTGTTTATTTAGTTGCCTCTTTCAACAAGGATAGGTTTCTGTTTACATATATACTGGTACTTAAAAATGTTATAGTAATAACAAATGGTATATGCATTAACAGAAAGATGCCTATCTGCCATAGATGGGGTGTCTGAAGTACCATCACTTTGAGGGTCTTCAAGATTCATGGTGACATCTGTGCATTCAATGCTAAAACAAGGTCACTAAAGGTGAAAGATAAGAGATATGGTATTAGACTCACATCCAGTCTCTGAAATGAAAGCCCAGAGACTTTCTTCATTTTCAGAAACTGTGGTAATCTGAAATTGCCACATAGTACAGCCTTGCACACATTGTACCCATGTGGGGAATTGCACCCGGGTCTTCATTGCTACAAGCGGGCGCTTTAACCATTAGGCTACCCCACTGCCCCTGAGCATGAAAGAATGGGGGGTGGGGGTGTGTGTCTGTCTGTCTTGCATTATTATGCTGAACAGTGTATTTTGCCTTTGCCATGTTTAGAGTTTCTTTCTGTTAATGATAATATGATGTTGAGGACATATGTTCTTATATGGACATCAGTGTATTTCTGTGTTCTTACGTGGACCTACTATACACAGTTTGCACATTGTATTTCTATACCTTTATAAACATGATAAACACTAAACGTTTTGAAGTCAACTTGGTCAAAAAGTCAATTCTTGAACAATATAATTTTCCTTCAATGCATGTACAATGTTATGCATCTAGATCATGCATATTTTTATAAGTTTTACCATTATTATCCATACTGATACCACATTTGTACTCTGTATATAATCCTGGATATAAGATATTAAGCATATATTTAGTCAGAGATTCCCTTCACAGTTTTCTGCTATTACCAGATCAGTTGTATGTCATAGCAAGTAGTCAGTCTGGTTTATTTCAGGAGGATAAGTGTTTCGCTCCCCTCAGTGCATATGAACATTTAGTAGTGCATACCAGTAGCTTCAGAGTCAAAATGTATACTGACCAATACTCTCAGTGGTGTTATCATACATGTCTGTTCCAGACTTGATTATTTACTGACTGCCATATAGCTGGGATATTGCTGAGTGTGGCATTAAGCAACAAACCAAATAAACAAAATATATGTGATGGGAAGTCTGTCTAGGCTAGTCATGTTTTGTTGAATAAAAATACTCTGAATATCGTGTAAAATCATCCTTAGGGGTGCAGTTATGGAAGGATACAAGAAGATAAGCATTTCAAATCATTTTGTGGTGATACATATCTAGATATGCCAGAATAACAGGCCATGACTTGAAATATTCATGTATTTCTGAGTGAAAAAATAGTGACAGTCTGTTTCTGTCTGATTAAAGGTTAATCACAAATTGTAATCATAAATGGTATAATTTTTATATCCTGATTTAGAAAGGGCTATCCTTTTTAATATGCTATTTTTTTTATTTCATGTGTAGAGACATACATCAGAATGTACCATATAAGATTCTAAACATCAGTGTCATGTTTCGCCCTCAGCCAGGGCAAAACTATGTCTGCTAGTCCAAACGTGACTCTTAGCATAATATATTGTCTGTTTCAAAGTTAACATATGAACTATTATTGGGCCAAACAGAACTTTACTTATTACAAGCTTCAGACCTGTGGCTAAAGTCACAGACTGAATACACATAAAATGGATGACTTTTTTTTGGGGGTCATTAGCCCTAGTTGTTCTAGCAAGCTGTCACACTTGTTGTGTTTTCGATGCCCAACTGCAGGGGGAACTGTCAGAAGCATTTGCTGTTCAGTTGTATTTATAGGAGAACAATTGTATTGATTCAGTGCTTGCTGGTCAAAATTTGTAACCAGATGGTCAAATTAATATCTGATGAAATTCATGCTGTTGTAATTGAATGAATCTTTTCCTTGTCAACAGTGACAGCTGTTATTAGAAAATATTACCTTTGTCATTTTGTTACATGTGGGAGAGAGGATGTATTGATATCAATTCACAGTTTATGAGCATTTTCATCAAATTAAATCTCACATGTGAAGTAACCATGGTAACTGTGATGTTTCTATTTAACAGGAATCTTTGTTTGTGAGCAATGGGTGACGATCAGTGCATTGCCAGCAAGAAGTCACGAAGCATGAGCGAGCTTGAGGAGTTTGACAGCATATTTCCTGATCTGGTGGATGGTCTGACAAAGATTGGTCTGAAGGATGCAGAAATATCTGACGCAATGAAATGGTTCAAAGAGGTACTGATTCATCATTATGTCTTTAAACAATACCACAGGTATTCAATACTATTCACTGAAATATTTGCAGGGCTCCAGATAAGGGTCGTATCGGCGTATGTACGGATAAAAAATATGCAAGATACGGTAGGAAATAATTTAGAAAGCGTAGCAGATACGCACCACAGCAATGGTGTACGGTCTTAGAATCATTTTCAGGCGTATTTATCTGAAAAAAGTATTGTTTTATTGTTTATTGACCGGTTTACACAAGAGTAGCAATGTTGTGGTGCATATATGAAACAAAACACAAGATTACTGATACGCCATTAATTTCCATTCAGTACTCTAAATGTACTCTTAAGGTTTTCCAGTACTCCTATATTGAATAAATAAGAAGTACATACTCCTGATCATGAAAAATTATCTGGAGCCCTGTATTTGAATATATTTTTTAAATAAAAAGGTTATTAATGTGAATGTTATTTACAGTCCAGTCATTTAATAGGTGTCACGAAAATTATTCTTCATTTTGGTTTCATTTGAATATAAACACTTGAACATATTGGAAAGATTTTCTTCCTCATTGGATAAGTAAAAGCTTAAGGAAGATAGAGTTTGGGGAATCCATAACTTTTATTGTGGATCCAAAATTAAAGATCATTAATTTTTTATTATACTTTTTGACCAGGTGTCTGAGTACAATGTTCCGTTTGGGAAGAAGAACAGAGGGATGTCTGTGGCTATGTCCTACCAGAGTTTTGTTCCTGATGCTTCTCAGGAAGATCTGAAGCGAGCGAGGATCTTGGGTTGGTGCGTGGAATGGGTAAATACTCATTTAGTTACAATATACATGGTGGTGCTTTTGCGAAGAGGACACAATCAGCTGGAAACTATTTTAGACAAAGTGTTTTCATAATGCCAGTGTTATATTTTGTGAAATTTTATTTTAACTGAGTTTAGTGGAATTAGTTGATCCTCTCATATGGCTTAACAAATCCATTATTTTATTCACTAATTCAATGTTCTTTGGGGTGATTTTATACACAGGCTGAAGAATGGGATATTTAACAGATCCATGCCAGACAGCATTCTCTTCCCACAGAGGTTACTTGTCATATCTTCCTACGAACCTCTGTTCTAATACGGCCATATTTCCCGGTTCTCGTAAAATCCCCTATCGGCCAAAAATCGCAACACGAATTATCTCCCTTCTTTCTATCCAATCAGAACACGTGTTACATCGACTTAGCTCCAACCTGACTAATACAAGCATGCCACAAATACAAAAATGGAGACGCCATCGATCCGCCATTACATGACTGAGTTCTGTCTAGAAGAAACGTTTGCGCATCGAGCAGGTGAAGAGGTTCTAGTTTTCCCGAAGCATACGGAAATTCCCGAGGCCTTGCGAATGATCAATTTTGAAACAACGTCGCTGATTGCACAACTAAATCTGATTGCAATCAATCACGAAACCTGAACACGCGCACCATGAAAAGGCCGTATTAGAACAGAGGTTTGTAGGCAGATATGACAAGTAACCTCTGTGGGAAGAGAATGGCCAGACAGGTGCCAATGCAGGAAAATCTAACCTGTAGGTGTTTATTGGGAAACAGGGGTGGTGGGGTAGCCTAGTGGTTAAAGCGTTCGCTCATCATGCCGAAGACCCGGGTTCAATTCCCCACATGGGTACAATGTGTGAAGCTCATTTGTGGTAACTTCTTTGAGTGGAATTTTAGAAGTTGGGAAGTGCAATATAGAACAAACTTTATGGATAACAACTTCTTTTTATTCGTGATTCTTGTACCGTTGTCAAGCATGCCAGACAGGTGCAAATGCATTTCTGGTGTCCCTCGCCGTGATATTGCTTGAAGTTGAATATTGCTAAAAGCGATGTGAAACCAAATTCACTCAATCACTATTGCGAAACAACCAGAGAATCATACTATGCACAGTTTACCACTAGTGTTACAAGGTCTGGTAATGCTTCAGACAAGTAGACATTGTCTTACATAGATACCCAATGACACAGTCAGCAGGACTGGTAGATAGACAATAATTTTCATGTCACACTGAAAGTTGTGTGTCTTGGCTGGGCATGATGATGTCTGTACTGATGGTTGTGGGTGCAGTTAGAGATTGCATGGTTTAAACACAATATGTAACTTAACACGTTGAAAGCCTAACTGAGGAACTGTGACATGTATATTTGTTCTATGTTTCTAGTTGCAAGCCTTCTTCCTAGTGGCTGATGATTTGATGGACAAGTCTGTGACACGGAGGGGAAAGCCATGTTGGTACAAGAGGGTGAGTTAATCAGTAATTTTTTGTTTGTTTGTTTGTTTGTTCGTTCATTCATCCATATTTTTCATTCATTCAACCACTCACTTATTTTTATGTTTTTTATTATTTTTGTTTATTTTGATTATGTAATTTTAGTGCTACATGTATTTTGTTATTTTTTCTGTGATATATTGTTTCTCTTTTGCCATTTTTCAAGTGTGACTGTCAGCAAAACATCTCAAAATATTTTGGTTAATTGTGATTATTTTGCATATTCTACTCAAACTGGCAAATTATGAAGAACTCTGCCCCTCCCTACATATCATGGACCGCCTCCGTGGTGTAGTGGTTAGAGCGTCCGCCCGGAGAGCGGAAGGTCGCAGGTTCGATCCCCAACCGCGTCATACCAAAAGACGTTAAAATATGGTACTTGTTGGTCCCTGCCTGGCGCTCGGCATTAATGGGTACAACAAGGACTGGTCGGCTCAGAGTCAGTATAATGTGTCTGAGTGGGGTATTCATGCTTCACTGCGGGCATGGTATCTCAGTGGGCTAGCACTATAAAACCAGCTTCAGTCTGGGCTAGTACAAGCAGCCGCACATACACATACACACGCATGCACGTCGTCATATGAGCTAAATATTCTCAAGTACGACGTTAAACCCAATTTCACCTCACCTACATATCATGACCATTGTTTGTTGTCAGGAGAATGTGGGTACAATAGCTGTCAATGACTCTTTCTATCTGGAGGCCGCCCTCTACCAGATCCTGAAGAAACATTTCCGCCATCTTCCATACTACACCAGTATCCTGGAGCTGTTCCATGATGTAAGTGGCTCCAGATGTATAATATACACTCCATAGCAGGCTGATGGTCCTGGCATTATGCTCTGCACAATAACTATTATATTACCGGTATTATGAGCTCATTCATGAAAACATATTCATATCAACAGTCTAAAAATAAATGTCTCGATTGTCAGTTCATATTTTGACAGGGTTCGAATTAAAGCATGTGAACTGAAAATGATTAATTTGGTATTGTACTTTATGTTTTGTTATCAGTCAGTGATATTTTTAGGATTTGTTATTACTGCTTTATAGAACCAGTAACAAGGGTAAGTATGAATTAATTTTTAACTGTTTGATTCTTCATGTAACGCCAATGCAATTCCATGACAGGGTTTGTCATGAAATCGAAGGGTGAGGCTTGGTGATTTGGTTGTCATGGTATAACGGTGGCTTAGGATGCTTCTGACATCAGCCACTGGTTTGACACAATGCATGACATGCTTGTCGTAAGAGGCGATCAAGTAATGGGATGAAGTGGTCAGGCTCGCTGACTTGGTTGATACATGTCATCGTATCCCAATTGCGTAGATCGATGCTAATGTTGTTGATCACTGAATTGTATTTGTCCAGACTCAATTATTTACAGACTGCAGCCAAATAGCTGGAATATTGCAGCGTGAAACAACAAACCGAACTAAACCACAATGCATGACAGGTAAACATAATCATGCTGCAGCTGGAATAGATTACGTCGTATTTGTCGTATTGAATTGCAAATTATTATATATCCTTTGATGGTCACCCTACACGGCGTTCATGAGATTGTTTAACTGCAGACAACCATGCAGACGGTGATTGGCCAGTGCTTGGATCTGACAACAGCACCACCAGAGGGCACTGTGGACTTCAAAGGATACACGCTTGACAGATACAGTGCCATTGTCAAGTACAAGACCGCTTTCTACTCCTTCTACTTGCCTGTCGCATTAGCTATGTATATGGTAAGGATTCATAGGATAGTGTATCTGTCAACATTTCTGAAATGTTGGTAAAGGAGTCAAATTTGATGTGGAAAATTCACCATAAGCCTGGTAAAATATTTTTGTGGTTTGGAGAATTGAATTTCTTGGTCGTGCCAGGATCTGATGACAGTGATCTGTAAATATTTGGGGTGTTGAAGAGTTGAATTCCTTGGTTGTGCCAGGATCTGCTGAGTGTGATCAATGATCTTTAAGCATGATAAACCTGGATTTCATCACAGCGGTAAATGTCTGTGTGTGTCAATTCTGGCTTTCCGATATGTCACATTATAACGGAAATACTCTCCTCAGACACACTCAACAATTTAGACGTCTAAGGTATCCAGATTTTCTGTTATTCATCCTGACTGTGTTCTTATTGGTTTCCCCAAAGCGGTAAGCATCTACGGCTTACACTACCTCAGCTTTCATCAGGAATCGGACTCATAGTGATATGACTGACATGCTTATGTTGCTCAACACAGTATAAGATCTAACTCACTCATGCTTGCACACACAAGCCTACCAAAACCACCCACTTGACATCTGAAATGAATGACGTTATTATTCCAGGCAGGGATTTCTGACGAGGCATCTCACGCCAATGCCAAGACGATCCTGCTACAGATGGGCCACTTCTTCCAAGTTCAGGTATGTCACAATACTTGTTCAGAGACGTAGGTGAAGCCTTTCTGGCCACTAGAAACTATGTCGCCACTGTGGTCTGAACAGCTGCAAATTTCTTGTCTTGGACTTTGGATAACTTGTAAATTGTTTAGTGTTTTTTCAGGATTTTGAATGAGCCTGCAGGAGTTATGACCCTTGCTGTTTGTTTAAACCAACTCTGTTGATTCATTTTCGTTAAGATAAACGTTACTTTGATATGTCATTCTGTGTTTTACACTGATCCATCATTCTCATCCTTTCTGGTCTTTTACCTCGATATATGTGACCCGTGAAGATCCGGGTTTGTATTGATCTTCAGTAACCCATGCTTGTCGTAAGAGGCGAGTAATGGGATCGGGTGGTCAGGCTCATTGACTTGGTTGACAAATGTCATTGTATCCCAATTGTATAGAACGATGCTCATGCTGTTGATCACTAGATTATCTGGTCCCGATTGTTTACAGACCACTGCCATATAGCTGGAATATGGCTGAGTGTGGTGTAAAAGTAAACTCACTCACTCACTTGATCTATGTTTCTTCTCCAGTAAAAGTAAAAGGGTCCTTATCTTATACCCAACAATTAAAACTTCAAGATTTAGGAAGTCCCAACAGCCAAATACCTCTGGGAGGATCTCTCATGAAAATCCTGACTTACTGGACAAAATAGGCTTTGGTGTCAAGACATCATTTATGGAACCAAATTGTTATTAAATGTATAAATATTTAAGGGCCCTACATTGAAAAATAATACCACAAGTACCTTAGTCTGTATCTCAGACTTTATTGAATAAAATGTAGAACTGAAGTCTTGAATGATTGGGCAAGTCCAGACTGCATAAGCTCTTTGGTTTTCATATTTTTATGCTTCGTTGATATATACTGAGTCAAAAAAGAAACTTCACAAAATGTAATTTGAAAAATAATGAATAATTTTTCTCTGATGATACATCTATGTATCCGAAATGGGATCCCTATCTTTCGACTCTAGAAAAACGTTAGCAAAACCCACTCAAACCCATCCATTCGTCGTGCAAATAACGTTAGTGCCAAATCAGGTTTTGCACGTGCAGTCGATCATGTGATCTTCGCATCGAAGTTTTATTCATATGCACATGTTTGCATTGGCCTCAAGAATTGAAAAAACACTTTTAAACCACAGTTCTAACGGTACTTGAAATGCCACGATTGTCAAATGTGCAACGTGAACGTGCTACATTGGCATGTTGCAAGCGGGAAGATCAGTTATTGACGTCGCAAGAGCAATGGGATGCAGCCGTCGTCCTGTGTATGACTTGCGAGGTCGCCTACAACAAACTGGCACCACTTCTGATCGCCTAAGGTCGGTTCGCCCACGCAGTGTGGCGTCGAGCAGAAGACCGTCAAATTGTCCTACGTCACCTACGTGACAGATTTCTGCCGCTACACGAACCAGGGCTGAGATGTTTAGAGGTCGACTGTCCTCACAGACCATTCGAAATCGGGTTATGGGGCTGCCAATCTCCATTCTCGACGTCCATATCGCGGGCCAATATTGACGCCGCTTTCATCAACGCCAACATCTGCTGTGGGCCCAACGTCACCTCCGATGGACCCAGAGAGACTGGAATCGAAGTCGTCTTTAGCGATGAATCCAGGTTTACCCTCAGATTCGCTGGACGGCAGGCATAGAGTCTGGAGACGACGCCGCGAACGGTATGCCCAATGTTGTGTACAGGAAGTCGACAGATTCGGGGCGGAAGTTGCATGGTGTGGGGTGCTTTCTGTGGGAACAACCGTTCCCGACTTCTGGTCATCCGTGGAAACCTCACAGCTGCTGCTTACCGCAACCAGGTGCTCACCCCTGAACTCGTTCCTTTCATGGCGGCTCATGGCCCAGGTCTACAGTTCCAGCATGATAATGCTCGGCCGCATACCGCGATGTTGACACGACATTTCTTTCAAAACGCTGGAATCAATGTCATGGACTGGCCATCGAGGTCCCCTGACCTTAATCCAATAGAGCACGTTTGGGATGCACTTGGGAGAAGGCTTCGTGGTCTTAGGAACCAACCTCAGAATTTGCAGGAACTTGGCGCTGCCTTGCAAGAGCAATGGCGCAGAATCCCCAACCACGTGTTCACAAGCATCAGGCAGTCGATGAGGAGACGGTGTTTGGCAGTGGTGAATGCGCGGGGCGGCCATACACGATATTGAACTGAGAAATTTCGCATTTTTATTCTTGTGACTTGACATTCTGTATACCCATGTTTTGGAACGGCGGTGTAGCCTAATGGAACTGATTATGGCACTGTCAGTGTATCGAGTACATCACACAGATCTCAGCAATGAAATAATAACAATTTAACCATCTTACCATCTCTTGTTCTTTTATAGTGCCCTGAAGAAAGAATGTGAAGTTTCTTTTTTGACTCAGTATATATTTTACGTAGGATGACTGTTTTTCTGGGACTAACTGTTACAAGAAGTCCCTGAGGTACCCTCCCCCCTCCTTATTTCAAATACAATTTACCACATGATCAGCGGATCCTGGCAGCAAAGGGACACAACTCTGGTCATTGGCCTACACCATCAGACCAGTAGTTAGAATTACTCCGTTCCTGAAATAATTTGGCTCCTGATAATTTTACAGGATGATTTCCTGGACTGTTATGGTGACCCAGAGGTGATAGGGAAGATCGGTACCGATATAGAAGATAACAAATGTGGTTGGTTGGTGGTTCAAGCTCTCAACAGGGCCAATGACAGCCAAAGGAAACTGTTAGAGGTAAGGAGCTTCTCAATATATATTTAATCTTACTGATTCATTATTCGGGCCTATTAGGCCTCACAGTTGTCTTAGCTCTTGACTATTTCATTTTCGTTGAAAAAATGTCTGAAGTCCTCCTGTCTATGAGACTGTTTCCTGTAAATCAACATTGTGGAATAATACAATAGCTGGGAAAATATGATGGCTATTCCTGTCATTTTTTCAAGTTATTAATTATGTTGATTACACTGAAATGTGTGTACACCGAAGACCTGGGTTGGATTCCCCACATGGGTACAATGTGTGAAGCCCATTTCTGGTGTTATTGCTGGAATATTGCTAAAAGCAGCGTAAAACTTAACTCACTGACTCACGGAGTGTTGCAAACACAAATGCATACATGTATGCTGTTTTATGCAAGTCATATGTGTTCTCAGTATTATGCCATCTGGATCATGTGGGTTTGTTCATTTGTAGTTTAACATGGGTACAATGTGTGAAGCCCATTTCTGGTGTCCCCGCCCTTGATGTTGCTGGAATATTGCTAAAGGGGAATAAAACCATACTCACTCACTCACTGAAATGTGTCCATGGGTTTCAACTTCCTTAAAGATGTTAAAGGGAGACAATCCCAGGATATATTCCGATGTGCTTAGAGGCTGATATTTAGCCCCACGTCTGCTTCCAAGCACGGTAAAAATTCCTAGGTTGAAATTAAATGTTTAAATTCCAGAAAGTTTATAAAATTGAAACATTCTTTTGTATCACAGTTTTACTTTCCGATTTGCCTGACAAAGGCACTTTGTTTCAAATCTTATATGATTCCAAGTGGTGTCTACTTTGCTGGACAAATAGCATCACTACCTTTTCAAAATTGAGTTTATAACTTGCAATAGGCTTCATCAAGGTACTTGCCAAATTGAAACAAATATTCTTGACATTTTGATTACAATCTGTTATTGTCTCAAGAACATGATCGGGGATAAATCTGCTGTTTTGACTTTGGTGAAGTGGCATTGCTATCTCCATTGGACTTATCGTTAATGTAAACAGAAATGACTGACACTGAGTTTGTGTTTCCAGGAAAACTACGGGCAACATGATCCTGAGAAGGTGAAGAAGGTGAAGGAAGTGTTTAGAGAACTGAATCTCCAGAAAGTGTACACGGACTATGAGGAGAGCAGTTACAATGACCTCAGTGTTCTTATAGGAAAATGTGCAGGAAATCTGCCCGAGGAAGTTTTCAGGGACTTTGCCAAGAAGATATACAAACGGCAGAAGTAAAGTTGTGTTTTAGCAAGTGTTTTCACATGTACAGTCAAGCATGGTAGCGTCGGAGTTGAACATTAAGTTCGACACATCCAAGATGGCCACAACAGTGTTTGACTGTAGTTAATTTATTGATGTACAGTCCTATTATGTTTGGACTGACTGACTGAGGTTGGTTTTACGCCGCTTTTAGCAATATTCCAGCAATATCACGGCGGGGGACACCAGAAATGGGCTTCACTCATTGTACCCATGTGGGGATTCGAACCTTGGTCTTCGGCGTGACGAGCCAACGCTTTAACCACTAGACTACCTCACCGCCCTCTTATGTTTGGAAGGTGACAGAGCAAGCATCATGTACAGCCTACTAATTGGGAAAAGGAACAAATTGTTGGATTCCCTCCAATTGGCTCATTTTTGAAAGCCAGTTCCAGAACGTCAACTTTAAAGCCTGGCAGGTCTTGGACCATGGCTCTAAGAGTTTTGATCAATGTTTATTTTTCAAAACTGTTCTATTGTCATGAGATGTTATTAAATAAATGGTAACTGCCACTTTGAAACTGCAATATATTCCAACATATAACAAGTTTAAATACATTTTTAAATCTAAAATTTCCCTTTCTGACTGGGGGCAGTGGGGTAGCCTAGTGGTTAAAGCGTTCGCTCGTCGTGCCGAAGACACAGGTTCAATTCCCCACATGGATACAATTTGTGAAGCCCATTTCCGGTGTACCGTGCGATGATATTGCTGGAATATTGTTAAAAGCGGAGTTAAACTAAACTCACTCACTCACTCACTTACTCAAATCTGGTTGCTTTTTCAACTTTGAATTGAGAAACTATTTTAGAGTGTTGATGTGCTACTTCGTAGCCCAAAGCAGTAAACATTTAAGACCTGCATCACTTCATCCTTTCCTCCGACAATCGACAACATGCAAGAAGCAGCAGTGTTAAACCATACTCGTCCGCTCGTTGAAGACCATCGAACATGGGTACAATGCACTGAAAATAATGCAGTTAGTAAACCATAATCACTCACAGTAAACAGTTGTCAGTAAGAATAGTTTTTCGGATGTATATTGGATGGACTGACAGTGCTAACACAATAGCTGCTTCATCACATGTATGTAGATGTACTGTATGCTGCTAAGATCACTTTATCAAGGTTGTGAGAGTATATGTTACAGCGAGATTAAGAGGCAACCCAACAGTGGAAAGACCCATGAAGATCCTGGTTAGAATTGGTCTTCAGCATCCCTTGCTTGTCGTAAGAGGTGACTAACGGGATCGAGTGGTCAGGCTCGCTGACTTGGCTGACACATGTCATTGTATCCAGATTGCATAGATTGAAGCTCATGCTGTTGATCATTGGATTGTCTGTTCCAGACTCGATTATTTGCAGACTGCAACCATATGGCTGGAATATTGCTGAGAGTGGTGTTGAACAACAAACAAACCAACAGTGGAGACTTGCTCATTTTGAAACCTATCATAAAAATGACAGACACTTAAAGAAGCATCTGTGAAATAGAGTGACTATGTTAGTGAAATTGTTGGTACTATTGATGTGACTTGTGTTTCTGCAGGGACACTGATCCTGTCATCCTCAATAATCTCCAGGGTATATGTTACGATCAATCTCCACTATACCCTGGATGCATCCACAGCTTGGCCCGATAATTTTATTACCTCCCTTGGCTGGCTCCGCATCAGCCAATCAGCTAAACCGAAGTTACAACCGAGCTTGCCAATGTCAACAAAGATAGCCTTCGCAGTCACGAAGGTTTGTTCGCAGTGCCACTCAGCTTTTGGGGAAGTCATACAGACAAATTGACAGATCTGAAACTTCCCAGCATAGACACCTGATAAAAAGCCAGCCAAGGGAGGAAATAAAATCATCAGGTCAAGCCATGGATGCATCCAGGGTATAGTCAAATTTATCGTAAGGTATACCCTGGAGATTATCAGAAAAATGTCTGCTTTCAAACAGGCAGTGAGTTTAGCCAACATTGCAGGATTTGATATTATTCTTTCAACCAGCTGCATTGAAGTGGACAGATCATGTCGATATTCCAGAATATATATACTGGATGGTTATTATTTGTGTAAAAGTGGCCAGACTTTTTTATCTTTCTATTTTGTCTTTTTGCTTCTTTAATTTTGCGGCAGAATTAAAATTTGGGATTTCCTCAAAATGTTCACTATTTTAAGTAGGTGTCGCATTTAATGCTTTTAACAAATAGAGTGGGGTCTGGAGTTGAGATAAATTTTGAACAGGTTCTAATAACAGTATTTAAAAGTTGAAATATTTGGCTTACATTAACAGTAAACTGTAACTACAGTAAATTGGAAATTCTAAACAATTTACATATTTCCAATCAAAGTGATAAACAAGCGGGATTTTTTTTGTATGTGTTAAAGATTTCAATTTCTTGGATTTCTCAATTTCTGGGCAAGCTTACAAAGTTCATATGTGTACATGTGTAATATTTATATAATGAACTCTTGTTGACATGTGAGAAACTGTTTCTGTGTGACTTGTGAATAATGATGTCATGTTGAATAAATGGTACGTTTTCATTGTGCAGGGACTCATTTGCTTGCTGTAATAACTTTAAGAATCAATAGCATTTTATGAATACACAACTTTACAAAGTTGTCAAGTGTAACATAGCTTGTATTTGAGATGACACTTTCATAATACATTACACTTTCTAGTACTTTTGGGGTTGAGTCTCTCAGAGTGATGCACCAAATCACCAGCACACGAAGACAGTGATCTACCCACTGAAACAAAGCTTCAACAAAGATGGAAGACAGACAAGTGATAGTTCAGGCTATGTACCACTCTGACAAGTGTAAATTGGCAAGGGAGGGAAAGTTATGAAAATACAAGGACATTTGGAAAGTGGTCAAATGCAACATGGTGTATTTTTAATTACACTTTCTTAATAGAGTACTGATTCTAGGTGTTGAGTCCCACCCGGGGTTCGAACCCACACTCCACCAAATTGAGAGCACACTAAGTGTAATCCTAAATATAACATGTAGCCATACCTCGGCTTATGGTTTATCTATAGGGCATAAGAACTACTTCAAACAAGAACGAATTTCAAATATATCAGAAACAACAGGAGAAGAAAAGAATATATTTCAACTCAGACAGTGAACTCTACAATGAATTATTTCCACTACATGAACTACATGCCACCCCTGGTCACGCAACCGCCTCCGTGGTGTAGTGGTTAGAGCGTCCGCCAGGAGAGCGGAAGGTCGCGGGTTCGATCCCCGACCGCGTCATACCAAAAGACCTTAAAATATGGTACTTGTTGGTACCTGCCTGGCGCTCGGCATTAATGGGTACAACAAGGACTGGTCGGCTCAGAGTCAGTATAATGTGTCTGAGTGGGGTATTCATGCTTCACTGCGGCATAGTATCTCAGTGGGCTAGCACTATAAAACAGCTTCAGTCTGGGCTAGTACAAGCAGCCGCACATACACATACACACGCATGCACGTCGTCATATGAGCGAAATATTCTCAAGCACGACGATGCGGCATAGTACCTCAGTGGGCTATAAAACCAGCTTCAGTCTGGGCTAGTACAAGCAGCCGCACATACACATACACACGCATGCACGTCGTCATATGAGCGAAATATTCTCAAGCACGACGATAAACCCAATTTCACCTCACCTCACCTCACGCTCATGATACATCATATTTGATCAAATATGGACTTCAGGGAATTTTCCACCTTCGTGGCATAATGCCATTGTAGTCCATATGCCAAAGCATGGTCGGGATCATACTGATCCTTCTATCTGACCAATATCTTAACAAGTTCTGTCTGTAAAACCATGGACCAAATGGTAAAGAAAAGATTAACATGGTATCTGAAAACCAATGACGTAATTACAAATATGCTATGTGGTGTTCGTAAAATCCAGACTCGACTATTTACAGACCACCGCCATATAGCTGGAATATTGCTACCAAACTCTCCTACTAACTGACTCCGTAAAAGAAGTATTATTGATCATTTAGTCCGACTGGAATCCTTTGTTAAAAATGCTATAGTATCTAAACAACAAGTAGTCTCAATTTTCTTTGATCTTGAGAAAACCTACAATGCTACTTTGAAACACAGCATTTTAAAGGATTTTCATGATTTGGGTTGGAGAGGTCGTTTACCTCAGTTTATGCCACATTTTAACAGACTGGCATTTTCAAGACCGAATGGTTTCATCCCTGTCTGACCATTATAATCAGGATCAGGGTGTTCCACAAGGCAGTATTTTGTCTGTCACATTATTTAGTACTAAAATAAATAGTCTTTCAAAGGTTTTAACTGATTTAGTTGATGGATCAGTTTTCTTTGATGATTTTAATGTCTCTCGTCGTAGTAAATATTTGCATACAGTAGAGAGGTAGTTACAAATCTGGCCCAATAAGATTCACAAATGGTTATTTGAAAGCGGCTAATCTAATTGTGTACATTTCTGCCGGAAATATAAACCGCATAAAGACCCAGAACTAACTCTAAATGGCACCCCATCAAAGTTGTGGAAGAGGCTAAGTTCTTGGGCCTTATTCTTGGGTCCCTTTAACCTTTGTGCCACATATTAAATACCTTAATGCTAAATGCTTGAATGCACTCTAAAAATATTTAGAAATAAGAGAAACATATTTGCCTTATTTTTTCTATAACCAACCGTCGAGACAAAAATTCTGTATGCTACTTCGCACAGAAAATATTGACTTGTTTAAGGTAGCCCTTGTGTTGTACCACATACTTATGTTGAGAGAAAAAATGTAAATTGTGAATGGGTGTTTATGGATTTATTGATGTTCCTATAACTCGCGTATTTACAGGTTGTGCATAAATGCACTGTTATTATTGTACACATATACTATTGGCCTCAGGGCCACATATACAAATCAATATGTCTGTCTGTCTGTCTGTCTGTCTGTCTGAATGCACTTGACTTGTTGAACGTCGTTTCTAATCCAAAGTGGGGAGGAGATTAAACTACCCTCCTACACTTATATGGACATTGGTTTCCTGAAAACTTGATTACGGTTCCATCGTGTATGATGGAGCCTGTAAAAGCAACCTTAAACTACTTCATTCTGTCCACCACCAAGGTCTAGGACTTTGTCTTGGATTCTTTCCAACGTACTTTGTTGATATTCTTTACGTCCAGGCCGATGAACCATCTTTAAAACATCGCCGTGTCAAAATTATCTTTGCGGTATCTCACAAAACTATATTCTAATAAGCCCAACCCTGCGTTTTCTTTCTATTTGTGAGGATCTGTATGTCTCCGCCTTAAGGAATGACAATACCACCATTAATTTCTGGTGCTAGCATTGAGCTAAAAATATAACTCCTTCCCGGCTTCTTTCTTTTCCTCCTTGGCATTGATGAGACCACATTTATCCCTAACACTGGCCACAATCAAGAAATCAGAAACAGACATCGGCAACGTAACATGTTTTGCGAACAGACTTGTGGCCACTTTTATTTTCCTTTGTTGACAGGTTGTATAGTCTCCAAATATGTATTCATATATGTCTTATTTTAATCACGGGAATGAATTATGACCTGTTCTAGTCACAATATGACTGGAATAGTGAGTGAGTGAGTTTAGTTTTATCCGCTTTTAGAAATATTCCAGCAGCATCACGACGGTGGACCCCAGAAATGGGCTTCACACATTGTACCCATGTTGGGAATCGAACCTGGGTCTTCGGCATGACGAGCGAACGCTTCAACCACTAGGCTACCCTACCGCCCCTATGGCTGAAATAATGCCAACGTAGCTATAAATATTAACTTACTCACTCGCCCAATGTTTATGAGGGAGATACTTCTGTCAATGTTTATGAGGGAGA